CTGCCGCGGCTGGGGAGCGGCACCAGCGCGTCAGGCGCTGCGGGGGCAGCTATGGCGGCACGCGATGAGGTCCTGGGGGCGTCTCCATGGCGACGGGTGTAAACATCGCGGGCGGTGCGGGCCATGGCGGCGCGCCGCGCTCCGCCGGGCGGGTAAGGGCCGGGCCGGAGGGAGGAAGGGCGGTACCGGGGTGCGGGCCCGGCAGGGAGAGCCGAGCAGAGCCCAGCCCTTCCCTTCCCTTCCCTTCCCGCGGGGCTGCGGTGCCTCCCCGGCCCTGCCACACGTACCGGCTGGGAGGCCGCGGGCGCTGTCACACCGCCCCGCCCGCCAAGAACCGGCGTCAGCAGAGCGGGGGCGGCGGGACACGGCTCAGCACACCAGCCTGTCTGGAAGTGTAAATAAACAGCGGGGACAGCTTTCAAGAACTGCTCGTGGGGCTTCAGGACGCAGCGTTTCGGTTGCAAGGGCCACACTCACTCATGGCAGAGCGAGGAACTCATGGAGTGACTCCTGTAGCATTTACTTTGCCATTGTTACTGTTTATAATTAGCTATAGTTAGTTTATCGTTTGGAAAGCAGTGCCTCTCCTTACTAATTGTTTTCCATACCATTCCTTTATCAAAGCATCCACCTCTACCATCGATACCTTGTTCTAGTTAGCCTGAGTTAGTCCGAATAGTTCAGAATAGTTATAAAAGCAGAGATGTCTCCATTCTTTTCCTTTCCTGGAAGGAGACGGTGTCTTCTAGCACATGGGTCTTTGTTCTGCTGGCTGTCCTTTCCTCGCCTTCTGAGAGCACAGGGCTGCTCCCCGCGGGAGGGTGAGATGGCTGCCAAAGGTGACTGCAGCCAGGCAAGGCCCTCCCCAACAGCCCTTACCTCTAGTCCTAGACAAGGACAAGTGATGAATTGGGTCCCGAGTGAGCAGCTCAGAGACAGGACTGGAGACAAGGCTACAGCATAGGTCCAAGGCACATCCAGGAGAGAGGGCTGAAGACAGTTACAACTACAGAGTAGCTCAGGCAGGGGGTGAAGGCCCAGGCCTGAGCTTAAGTGGAGCTCCTGGACCAACTGGCAAGAGGGTGCATGGGTGAGGGTCTTGGCTGAGGCTGGTCCGGGTAATTAAGGCCTGGCGGAGGCACTGACATCTGCCTGGGCTGCCTCAAAAGGAAAATTCTGGACTGTTCGTGGCCAAGCCTGCTTTTCTCTGTATGTCTTGAGCCTCCCTCCAGCACAGTGAAGGCCTAATTTATACCCACAGATAGGCTTTTGTCTTCAGATCTCAGAGTTGTATGATGCAGGTAGTCTCAAAGCATGCTATCACTACCTTTTTTGCTTGAGACCTCCAATATGCACAGCAACGTCTACATCCGTTCAAGAAAATTTACATATAGGAAAAGCAACTTTGATTATATTGAAGTTGCATGTTTTACACTCACAGGAAGTACCTTTCATCAAACAAGCAAGTTTTTCTTGCTTCAATTTTGCTAGCTTTTGCAATGCTGAAAAAGCCATCAGGTCCAAATCCAGGCCATCTGTACCACAGTCCAAGTAACAATCATTTTTGCTCACGGGAAAGGTTACAGGTGCTTCTTTTTTTCACTTAATGTGGTCACCATGGAACAGACACCTTTCAGTTTCCAAATGTGGGATGTTGTAGTTGGAGACCCTGCTTTTGTCAGGTAAGTGAAAAGCTGTCATGGCTGGTAGCATACTGACTGCCTAGCTGACTGATGTGGCTGCAAAGATTGCCATTATCTTAAGATCCTACCCTGCAAGAAAAAAAGAGACATATGCTCCTGAGTGGTAAGTGCACTCAGCTTTTATGAAAGCAAAAGGAAACAGAGAGTTCTCAGTACTCTGAGTATCAAAGTACTGGTTGCAAGTTTAGCTGCGGATAAGAAGATGCATTTCTGCATAGCCAGGAACCTTATTTTGTTTAAATGCATTAAAAGTGCCCTTCACATTCTAAACTATGAGTTACTATATGTTTAATGGTCTGTTATATATTGGAGACTTTCAAAACACTTTGCAATTCTGACCATAGGCCACTTCATCTCGTTCCTTGGTCCTGGAGCATCCCTGGCCAGCAGAGTTTAATCTTCTCGGGCATGGCTCCCAGTTGCTGCCGCTTTTCCATACCTCCCTGTAGCCAGGCACACAGCACAAACTTCCACGGCTTCCTCATGCCGGTGGAACTGTGCCATGAAGGCATGTTGTGCCAGGTACAATCTTCTCGCAAGAATGAAGTGTCTTCTGTGTGTCTATGATCACTAAGCAAAATTAAAAGATGACACTGGGTTAGTTTTCCGCTGAGGTGATTCCTTAAAGCAGCTTATAAAGAGGTCTGATGAGCCGTGGCAGCAGCACAAGGTAAACAGTGGGAAGATATGGCTAGGAGGAGGAGATGGTATGGCTTTTCAAGAGCAGTAAGCTGCTAGATCAATTCACGGTATCTCAAGGAATCTCACCCAAAGGTATGGTTTCTTGGGCAAGCTGACCCAACTGCTTGCAGTTTCTGGCTCCATCCTCACTGCCAGCTGCAGAATCACTCCCCCACTGAGGGGTGAACTTGCATGTTATGTTTTTAGTCAGCCTAAACTGGGTAACTGCAGGTTTTCCCTGGATTGGCAAACTAGAACAGCTCAGAGAGTTGTCCAGCATAAAGTAGAGCTAATGCTACCTAGGCATCAGGAGCCTGTTGTGGTGGGGGAGAAACAGGACCTCCCCTTTCAGCAGTGCTGAGCTGTTGCCACATTTCACAGAGCTGCAGCCATTTTATACACTAGGGTGGGAGATCCAACAGCCCACCAGATACGATCTCCCACCCCAGTGCTGTGCTGGCCCTTGGTGGACTCCTCCGAGAGCTAGTCCAGCTCACCCTATGCACACCTCTCCTGGAAAGCGGATGGTTAGAGACTTCGATCTGCTTAAGGTTGAACAGCTACCTGCCACCTGAGCATGAAACCATGCTGGCAGTTGAAGGCAATGCTCAGATATCAAGCAGAGTCCGTGGTTATGTTGTGCCACTGCAGCACCTGCAAATTCACTGTGATCTCTGGATTGCTTTATCATATCACAGCCACCCTAATTTTCCCTAAAAAACACATGCAATTCTATGTTTACTTCTTGAAAGGCCTTTCACCTATACATGCCAGCTTCTCATCTAGGAAAGAGAGTTCCTGGTTCTATTTGTTCCATGGTTTTCTGGTTCTACTGGCTGTCAGGCCACCTGTGCCGTGGCACTACTGGCTTTGCAGGCACTTTTGGGACCCCAAACCCCAGTTCTTGACCCATGGGTAACAGGTTTTCTAGTGCTGTTTCGAACCTCTCCTCTTCAGAAGACAATTCATTCAGGCTCACCCACCTGCAGGGTTCAGCCTGGTTGCTCTCATTGGGACAGTGAGGAAAGTACCAAATGTTGTGCCAGTTATCAAATCTCTCCATCAGTCCCTCCCTGTATGTTATCCTATTGGATGTTTCATGCATCAGGCACAAAATTAGCTGCTTACCTTAGGTACACATGGGTCAGACTCTCAATCTCCACTGCATATTTAATTAATTCTGTATATTTTGATAAGTTGCTTTCTTGCCATTGCACAGGACTGCTCCTGAATCTTCCTCTGAGATTCCAGGTTGCCAAACACGTATCAACAGTTTGAAATACATCCTGTTCAAGAAACAGAAGACTCCGGTGAGTTGAAGAATTCCAGTGCAACATCCAAACTTTAGCTAACTTGGTCAACTTTGAATCTTGCTGGAAGCCCATGGACCATCCCAAACTATTAGGAAGTCAAGCAAGTTCTAATCATTTTAGTCTTTCTTTAATGTATAGATAGAGAAAATCTATATGTTGCTGCTAACTCTTGAATTTCAGATTCAGGTGTCATCTTTGTGAATTAATTACCGCATTTTTAAGGGTGGAAGAAAGAGGAGAGGAATATAAATGTTGTTCTTGGCTGCAACTTTATGAGTGGACATACATGCCAAATACCAAAGCCAGAATTTGACCCATGTAGTTTAAAAAAAAAAAAAAGAAAGAAACCACATGTTTTTTAATCATAGGCTAAAAGCATCCTGCAGGAACATCTGCTCCCTAGTATGTACCAGTCTTAATAAAAATAAACTAGCATGGGAAAAATCTATATCTAAATTATGAGAAAATAAATTTCAGAAACATGTATACCAACAAACTAATGGGAGGTTAAGGTCTATAAACTCATATGTTATTTATTTTTGGAGGTTTTTTTCATTAGCATTTTGGTTGTATTTCAGGAATATGCCACTTCTGACAAGCTGTATGCGCTACATTAGCACAGAACTTAAAGTATTATTTTGTCCCTAGAGCTGGGACATTCTGTAAGCACTTTCTTCATTGTACGAAAGATTTTCAACTCTCAGTAAATTGAATCTTACTGTTTCTCCAATGTAATCTTCCTGCTTCTTCCACTGAAATTAGGACATTTAAACTTCTGAGGCTTTACATTTAACTGTTTCAAGGCTTGGTGAGTCTGAAGTTTGGGTGTTGAAAGTCAAACCCTGCTGTTTGCCCATGATTAACTTTTTATAAATTTTGCAGAGTAGGGAGGGATTTGTATTGGACAATCACATACTAATTATTTGGTTGTAATAGTGAAGATAAAGTAGAGCAATCCAGCATAGCTGGCTTTTTTTCCCCCAAAGAAACACCAAGAGAGTTCCAAGATAGAGATGAACAGACTCTTAACAAGATTTTGCTTTCAGAAGAGCTTGCAGCTTCTGAAGAAAAATTAATTCATCGCATTCTTTTCACTGTTCCTCAGACCTTACCTTCACTACATTCTACGCTAATGCAAATTCAGCTGTTTTGTGTAGGGTCACCAGCCTGCATTTAAAACTCGTAACCTATATGAGTTACCCTAGCTCAGTGTGCCTTTACTTTGAGGGATACACCCCGGTACAAAACTCCCTAGTGGAAACAAGACCTAAGTGAAACCTGTTATTTTGGGTTTCATCTGGATTAATGCAAAATTCTGATTGTTTGTATGATGCTTTATTTTCCAGTGGTCCTAGTATACACCAAGAAACCATTTTTCACCCAAAGATGTGAACACTTTCCCACAATCATGTAATCTAGGCAGCATGAACAGTAGCTACCAGGAGGTTGTTCAAAGGTGTTTAACAAATGGTACTAGTCTGGGAAGATGATTTATTCAAAGAACAAAAAAAAGTTTACCTGGTTTTTAAGTGTGGTCAGTCCTGGCTGAGAAGAATTTCAGGGTACGGCCCTGGTCTTTCATAGGCAGTTGTATCAATTCTGGATTTTGGCTCTTTGTTGTGAGTTTGCAGTGCTCAGATACAGCAAAGGGATTCTCTCCTTTCAATCTTTTCAGCTTTCTGCTAGAGGCCATTGGTCCACATGGCCTGCATTTGCATCTGGACAGACAGTCTTAAAGAATCACAAACCCTGCTGCGCCCCAGAGGAGAGACAGTCTAGGTAAGCTCAGCCCATACTACTGGCTAAGTCACCAGGATTGCTGAAGCAGTTTTTGAAAACTAAGACTTTACAGAGCAGAACCTCTTCCAGTGTTAGTGAGAACAATGATGTTGGGTTACCCCACAGCAGTTCAGTATAACAGAGAAGACATTGTTGGTTCTGACTAGTAGCTCTAAAGGAGATGTTAAGTATTTACATAACAGTGAGTCATGCTTAGTATAAACATCATCCTAAAATGCTATCATTTAATGATTCATTGACTGCCATTATATAGGATCCTGCCAGGGCTCCGAGTGCACCAACAGGGTCTGCAAGCTATTCTCCAGTCCTAGGCACTTGGGTGCCTGGGCTCAAGACCGGTTTTGATACAGCACAGATGGACAACCTGGGACCAGGTGCTGTGAAAAGAGCTGTGTGAGAAAGAGATGTGAGAAGCCTTCGCTCAGGCTCACTCACCTTTGGTTCTTGCTGGAGCTATGGTGTAGCCATGTGTCTTGTACCTCGCTGACCCTAGCCTGCTGACTTAACATCGGACCTTCCTCATCACTGCAGACTTGCCTGACATCACTGAACTATGGATGACCCTGGCTACCATCAAGGGACCCGCTCTGCTATTCTTGTTCAAGTTCTGTGGTTTCCTTGCTGTCACCCTATGGGGTCCCAGCTCCCCTTGAGCACAAGCACCCAAACCCCCAGGCATGGGGGAAGAGGTTGCAGAGCCTGTTGGTGCACTCAGGGCTCTGGCAGACTGCAGGACACAGTTGTGGATGATATAATAAGGGTAGTTGGGCTTTTAGTTCTAGCTGGTTTTAATACGAAATGTGCATGATAACATCCAGCAAAGGGACACTTAGCCTAGAACCTCCTGAAACATAGTATATTATCGGTTCTCTTTTCAAACAGCTGTTTTCCTTGATCCATTTCGAATAACGTAATTAGTATTTATTCTCTTCTGATACAGAAAACCCACTTACCTGGCTTTTTATACTAAAAACCATTATGAAGTTCTTAAACTGAGGAGTAGTAATAGCATGGTGTCTTGAATAGCCTCCTGCTCCATCAGGGAATTTTAAATTGTCCACTGTATGCTATACAATTTTCCCTTACCTGAGAGAATATATATGTACTACATTAAAAAAAAAAAAAAAGTCCTGCTGTGAAGCAACGGGCAGTAGGAAGAAAACCAAGATCCTTGAGCTGATTTATTATGAGTTCATTCTTATGTGTATGACACACCTAAGTCCATGTGTCCATTCTTTTCCTGTGTCTCTGCAGCAATAAACAGGCCCTTCTCACCGTTCCAAAGCCACGGTACTTGGAACAACTAGAGTCCTACTTAAAGAAAGAGCTGCAGTCTCTTGATCTGACTAAAAAGAACTCCCAGGAACGGAAGTTACAGGTCTGATACAAGGGTCTCTTGACTTGCAACTAAGTGCCGAGATGGATTACTTAAATTTGCCATCCAACGGAAAAAGCAGATGAGAAGAGTTGGCACCTATGGTGGTATTGGATAAGTGGGTTTGCAGCTCATGTTAGAGAACTTGCGCAGAAAGCAGTTCATTTATATGTTGGGTTGTTGTTTGCATGTTGGGTTTATATGTTGGGTTGTTGTTTGCATGTTGGGTTTATACGTTGTTGGGTTCATATGTTGTTGAGTTGTTCACATCTTCTTGTGTACTCCGCGTCTCCTATAACTGTTCCCATTTTCAAATCAAAGCCCAAGTCTTCAAAAAGACATGGTAATCTAAAATGGATGTGGAACAGAATTTAGTCACTAAACTCCTGAACATTCCTGTGTAAACCCATAAAGCAGCAAGTGTGTAGGTTCCCAAATTTTCACTGCAAAACCTCTCATTTCTCAAGTTAGGTTTCTGCATGTGACAAGGAGGGGCTTCCTCATCTAGCTCTTGTCTGAGCCCAGTCAGGATCCCCCAAATTTGCAGCTTCTAATGTGTCTGATCCTGGGGGATTTGTTGTGAGTGTTTGAGGACACACCTCATGGAGACGTTGAGAACCACCACTTTAATTCAAAACACAGATAGAGTAAGAGTGGGTACTCCTGTTTTTGTAATATCCTGCAATTAGAGCATTTATGCAGACTGTGGGACGTTTGGATTCAATTTTCTCTGCACAAATTAATGCAAATTCTCATTCCCAAGGGAATCCTGTAGTGATGGGGAAAGTGGTAGATGGAAGAGACTCGAGGGAAACAAAGAATGTCTAATGGCAAGAGAAAACAGAGGTTTCATAAATGTGTTTCTGCTTTGAAAATATTTTTACTATCTTACATAACATGTTTAATTGTATTTAATAGTGAGGTACTCTCAGTGAGAACGTTCCTTATTGCTACTGAAGTCTTCCCATGGCCCAGATACACCATGGGAGTTTGACTGTCCTCTCTGAACAAGTTTTATTCTGCTGAGAAGGACATCTGCAGAGAGACTCTCTCTGCTCTGCCAAGAGTGCCATTTAACTTAGCAAAATAGGCAACAAAAGCAGCAATATGATCTTGTTACACATCTTTAACATCCGTATTGTTACATCCTTGAGTTCTAGGCAGCTCCATCTGAACAGCATCATATTTTGGAGCCGTGCCCTGACAGACTTGATCAAAGCTTCTCTTTGGCTGCTAAAATCTTTGTTTGCTCTCCATCATGCTGTGATGCCTATCAACAGGGGAGAGAACTCCACCTTCATATGATGTATTTGGGATGGTGAAACAAAGATGGAGAGACAAAATAAAATGTGGTAGCAGTATTTTTATACTTATTCTCACTGTCATTAGATGCCATTTGTGTTGGACAAAACAGCTATCTCTGAATCTTGAAAAACGTGTCACTGAATGTTTTCTCAAGATCTTTTTCTTCTTTCAGCCCTACAGAGAGATTTTTGAATTCTTCATAGACAACTTCAAGACCTACAAGCCCTTGCTGTCAGCTATAAAGAATGAATATGAAGTTACTTTGGGTAAGCTTTTGGACTTTGACCTGTGGGGAGAAAACACTAATGGAGACATGTTCTTACAGAGCTTAGTTGTGTTAGATACATACACAGGATGAACAGCCTAAATAGATGTCAACTGGTAAAACCATCTTTCTGGTCCGTTAGGTCTATTTCCTTCATACATAAGAAGAAGTTGCTGGAGGGTTTTTTTGTATAATATTTTAGATTTTTAGATTTAGATTTAAGATTGTTAGATTTTTAAAATCTTATCACATACACAGTTCAGGCAACAGCAAAGTCTCAAGGTTTTTCTGGGACAATCACATTTATAGTGGAGTGTATCGAACTAATATATCTGGATGCACTTGCTCTGGTAACTTGAAGCTTGAATTACTCCTGAAGCAAGGCAGGGCAGAGAACTGAACTGACTGTTCCCTGGCCATTCTTAGTGTGCTTTAAACCTTGCTTGGCATTCAGATGCCACAGTGATACCAGTACTTTGTAAACAATCACAGTGGGCTAGAAATAGACTGTAACCAGGAGCTCATTTCACGCTGGGCACTGAGCAGCTATCAAAAGTCAACAGTTTTTTACCGGGACAGTGTCTTAAAGGATGTATGTTGTCTATCCCAGTACCTGTTACATCTAATCATAATCCCTCATTATAGACAAAAATCTTTCTTTGCACAGTATCTTTCAACCAGGTGAATAAGTAAATTTTAATCACATATAAAAACATTTTTTTTTAAATCACATTCTTTCCAGAACTCTTTAGTAGACATTTCTTTGCTTCAGCTCCCAGAGAGATTACTGGTGTCCATGCTGTAGCTGATATTGTACTGCTTTCTGAAGCTTTTTTTTTTTTTTAAGCATTTATTTACTGACTCCTCCATATTGCTTGGATGTGATATTTCCCTTTTTTTCTTTGAAGTCTCTGGAGACTTCAGAGCAAAACGTATCTTTTATGATAGCCTTATTTTTGAAAATCAGCTGAATGCCAGTGAACCAACATGCCATCGTAGCAAGTATACTTGAAGCTCTAAGAATAAAGCAAATGATTATTATTTTTTTAAACTGGGATTGGGATCCTCCCACCTTTCTGTATATTGAGGACTCATTGTCCTAATTACAGATTTTACCTTGCTAATGAGGCCTGCATGACATCTATCCCCTTTTAGCTAAGGGTATTGGATAGGGTTATCAGAAAGTGATTTCCAGGCCTCTTTCTCCCTGCCTAGCACAGACAACAGCTTACCTGCCTGGCCAAGGAAGCAGTGATCTAATCTAACCCAACAACTCATGGCCATGGAAACAAGATGGTCCCACATCCCAAGTCCTGATGGTGCACTCCCACTGCTTAGAACGCACCAGCTCTGCCACTCGCTGGACATATCCATGACCTCCGTCAGCTCACCCAGCAGGAAAAACAAAGACCAAGAGCTGCAAAGTTTCCTATGGGTTTAGTGAGTTGAATTGCTCAAGAAAGTGTCTGTGCTAAGCAAGAGACAAAAGCAAGCGTCTGAGAGCAGAAAGAGTACAAAAGAAAGCGAAAAGGAAGGAAATTTACTGATTTGTAGAACTGCACTCCTAAATATTTATCTTTATTCTTAAATTATGTCTGTCCTTAACAAAACCAGCTTCTTTAAAATTTGTGAGAGGTGGCCATTCTGAGGGCTCCTAACATCAGAATTTTATATTCTGTTTATAGTCCCTCACTACAGTGCTTGGAGTCTTAAGGTGTGGCTTTGGAGCTGATAAATGGGACAGTTTGCTTAGAGAGATGTCTCATCACTCCCCCTAACACACATGCTCTATCTGTAGCATTTCAGCTCCCTTTGAAACTGAAACTAAACCTCCTTTACACCACAGCATTGTATTTCTCAGCCAACTGGCTCTTATCTTTGTATTTAGCAGCTTTTCTTACTCTTTTTTTCTACCTTAGTCATACATCCTGTACTAGCTTAGCCTATATGAACATTTAAGGTGCTCACCACTGCACCCACTGTTGGGGCAGGTTCTCCCCTTAAATCTGCTAGTATTACAACATATTCCCAGTTCAGTCAGAATAATCTGGTTTAAAAAAACAACAACAACAACAAATATATTATTAAATGTTTTCCTAAAACTGTTCTGCTTACACTATATATTTAGCTGCATCATTTTGGCAGCACGATGTTTGAAGTAGCTAGCACGTGCATAGCTGAGCATGCGGACCAGAGAAGGCAGCTGCCTCTGATGGGTGCAGGGGCATGCAGCCCGTACTGGCTGCTTGCAACTATTTGTCTTCTGCCAGAACTGGACATACAACTGTAGCTGTAGCTCCTTTGGGTATAAGGTTGTGCTCAGCCAACACTGAGGTGTTATAGCATTGTTTCTGGAGTAAATCCACATGAATGTGAAGGTACTAAGCAGAATTTGGAAAATATCATCGTGGAGGAGAGAGCCATCAAATCCCTACAATTGTTAGCTTGGTCCAAGATAAAGGTTGTGTTGCTGGGAGCTCCTCTAAGACAAAGCTGAATGACAGGGTAGGTCTTCATGGTGATGTTATCCACGGCTGAATCCATTTCTTGATTAAAATAATACTCAGGTTGCTATGTCCACAAGGCCTTCACATTCACTCCTTTGTGATGCTAAGACTTCTGGGTCCATCCAGCAATTCTGTATGTGCAATGATCTGCATCACAGCCTGAATTCTTTCCAAGTGGGAAAATGTCTGTCCTTTCTTGGCATGGGGAGAGTTATGAGAGGTCATCAGAGAGCTGATGTTCTCAGATGGCGCTGGCCAGTGTCCGCACTACAAAATAATCACTTTGGCAGCCAACGAGTTGTGCTATAACTTCTGACATACGAGGCAGCTACGATTAAAAATACTGTTGCGCTTAATTTAAAGGGGTTTGCTTGTGGTCGGGAGTCAGTTGCAAAACACTCAAACTACGCCTCGAAGCAGGTTCGCTGATGTTTTAACGTGGTCTTCTTAGCTCACACTGAACAACCAAACAGCACAGTGGCAGAATCCCTGTCCTAATGCTCTAATTTTTGCCATCTCTTGTCCTGATACAAAGACCATAGTGAAAGAGTTTTGCAAACCCTTTGGTACAGTTATAGCATGGGAAGGAAATTCACACCCAAGTATAATGAGAAAGTAGTTCCTGTTCTTAGAATTATGTATGCGTTTTAACTTTTAAAATGCAAAATCTGTTGCATAGTATTTGTACATAAATACTAATACCAGGTTTTATTGAGGAGGAAAAAAACCTCCAAGTCAGATTATTCATCATCCATCACATTTCTATCCTTCTGTTCAGGAGAGGGAGTGAACAGTTTTGATTGCTGAATAATGCAGTTATTCACAAACAAAATGGAGCTTGCTCACAGCCTCATTTGAATCACACCATATCCTATCTTTGATCATTTTATTCTCCTGGTGGAATTCCATCTAGTCATAAAAACAAGCCTCCACACCAAGGAGGTGGCATCAGATGAAATTCTACCCTGTAACTGTAACTAGGGTATGGGAGCCAAGTCAAGTACTGTCACTAGGTTCCTCAGGTAAATCTCTTTAAGAAAAATTTTCAAGTCAAAGGGGAAATAGCTGAAAGTGAAAAGCACACGTTACAGCAGAGAAAGCCAAGAAGAGCACAAGTTCTTTACTAGATGTAGTGAAGAGAAAAGCAAAAGAAGAGAGGTCAAGGCATACCTAAAAAGAGGGGAGGGTGGGTAGACAACAAATTTGTATGCAAAAGGTTGCATGAGACTGTGCATTTGGAGATGAGAAAGCAGATCGAAGTTCATGAAGAATGTGCCTTCACAAAAGAGGGTATATTGCTAATTTCCAGCTGTCTTTAGCCCCATATGCTGCCTGTGCTTAAATGGTGACACCTTCCCACCTAGTGAAATATGACAAGCCATCAGTGCTCATTCTATCTTATCAAAACCTTAAGTACTCAAGAAAACAAAATAAAATCCTGTTCATCCTTTGTTTTCCAAACCAGGATAAATAGCATGAGCTGAAATCAGAAATCCTTATGAAGTTCATACGCACAGCTGCATAAACAATGGGATATAATCCCAAAAGATACTACTCCCAGTCCTTAGGCACTCACCAGGCCAAGCAGTAAAAGCTCCATGTTCAGTCCCCTTTCCCACCAGCACTGTTTTGGCATTGAATATCCAACAGCCCAGGTGAGTAAAATTCAGGCTTTGTTGCCCATTGTGAGACCCCACCTCTGCTTTCTTTAGCTCATCAGAAGAAGACAATTCGTGCCCTAGAGCCCCTGAAGGCTATGGTCACAACTGTCTCCGAGGAGTGCACCCGGCAGATACTGGCACTGCAGGAAAAGGAGAAAGATGAAATAAATATGTTAAAGCAAGAGAAACAACATTTGTTAAAGTTCATTGACAAAATGAAGGAAGAAAAGAATTCTCTTCAGACTAAGGTAGATTATACAATGATGAGTCCAACATTTCCCAACTGCAGTTGGGTGCATTTTATACATCTGATCTCTTACCTCCCAGCCTCTCATCCTTCGGTGCAAGTAGAAGTTCTGGAGCAGGCACTGAACATCTGGTACAGTAGTGATGCTGGATCTTGGCCAACTCCAGTGAATATCCTGTTCCCTTCGGACAGGCTGTGCTGCCACTGTCAGAAGTCTTCACTTGTATCTCTTGTCCCATCTGGCTCTTCCAGTGTCGCATTTGAAAGGGGGAGGAAATAAATATCTTCCTGGTACTAATGTTTTAGGTTCTTATGTAAAAGTACATGCACTCTTTTACAACATTGTACCCTTAGTATCTTTAAATATGTATCATTCATCTTAAATGGTGTAACTCAGATCATGAAATCTATATAATTCACTCTCTAGAAGGCTAAAACTCAGATGGAGTACCCTTTTGCACACTACTTCCAAGTTTGAACCCATCATATTTCTATCTGGCCCATCCCTTTCTACAGCATTATCACTTGCCCACTCTCCTGCTCCAGTTTTTCCCCACTTTGCTTCCCTTATCCCACTCTCTGCTCCTTAATTTCTGCTCTAGACCCACCAAACCAGTCCAAGAGTTCCCACTGATGCCATGCCCCTGATCAATTCAAGCCTCTGTTTCCTGCAGGTGGAGCATCTGCAGACAAGCGTGGCTGAGGAGTATGCTCACTATCTCAATGAGTACGGTGCCCGCAAACTGCTGCTAGCAAAACTGAATGATATGCATAATGAACAGCTGGACATGACACGTCACCAAGTCCAAGGTAGAGAGAGCAGATCTCTGTAAGAACCTGTCCTGCACAGACACCCAAATGCACACCCATGGGTACAGCATTGCAGTAAAAATTCAAAGTATCTCTGAAATATCTTCAGATATGCTTTGATTCTTAAAAGAAGTTAGACAAATTCATGGCCAAAAAGTCCATAAACAGGTAGGAAAGGGAATAGGCAGGGATGTACCTACTAGTCTGATCTGATTCCATAAGTCATTGCTTGTATTCTCGTACGCTCTTGCTTAGCCCAACAGGTAAATTGAAGGCAGGAGCTGCCCAATGCAAAGGTTCCTAATGTTTCTGACTCCAGTGCCAGCTGGCAGCTGGCAGCGTTGTGCCTGTCCACAAGGATGGACAAAACTGCTGAAATTCAGGTGTCACAAATACCTGGCACAGAGGTTACTCATGGTGGTAGGGACTTTTTCAGTACATGATCTCTGTTGTCCACAGCTGGGTTACAGGCACCCACAGTGCTACTGCTTCTCCCTTGCTGACTATAGCCATTGCATCTGCATAAGCCTCCCCCCATCTGTGATCCTTTCTATTAATCGAAACCAAGCCTGAGCCTTTGAATATGTATGTGTGCACGGGAGAGGAGGCAAGACAGAGGGTGGGAATGTGAACACTGCAATATACTCCTGGACGTGCAGTTCTTTACAGTCTATGCCCATTCAGCTTTTGCTGACACTTTGTAGGGTTATGCGGTCTAAGCACTCAATAGACAATTTGGAAAACTACAACTACAATTTTGCTGTCACGAGCTTTCATCAATGGCTGTTGTTTAAAGACATCAAGGGTGAAGATGTGGTGAAGTTAACTTTGGCATTAAAGGTAGCTCGGCAGGACCTCACAAAAGCCCAGGTGAAGTTGAACACCATGATAGCAGACTATGAAGATGTTGTGCCCAGGAGAGATTTTGAATCACTGGAGAAAAAATACTCTGATTTACTTCAGGAGGTGAGCATAAGCTCCTAATTTTCAAGCTATACCACATAAATACAAACATAACATGATGCTTCAGTATTCGGGTTGAGATAGGGACTCAGTAAACCTAGAGCTCACATAAGGGCATTTCTTTGTTCTTTGTACATGAAATACATGAAAAGCCACTGTCTTCTAATCCCCAAAAGCTCCCTATCTATTGGAATCACAGACTGCCTGAACAGTATACCATCACAAACCCTTAACATCAGGTTTAACTGAGTTGACACCATAAAAGCAATAATGGCCCACAGACCACCAAGAGCCCACAGATTACAGCTTGGGAACTACTGTCTGAAGTCATCATATATATAAATAAATGAACTAGGTTCACCTCACATACATTGCACAGTTTTGTCCAAACCACAGCTGACCAAGACTACTGCTGGCCTACAAATGCTTATCCATCTAGCTGGGTTTTTGCCTTTTCCAGTGGTATTAAATGGCTTCTTTAGCCTACTGGAACTCCAAGGTCATCGACCCAGCTATGGGGCTCATCAAGGCATTTTCCAGCTGTGAAAGAACTGGACTAGGTTCCTCATGTTGCATCCGTTTGCTGCCTTTTCAAAATAAATGTTTGACTGCTTAGCTTGCACTGGAGATGTACAGGAGCAATGCCATGTCACATGCAGGACAGCAAAGGGACAACACAGACCAGTGGCTACGATGGGGTCTGCTTCCAACCCCACAGTGGCACAGGGGCAGTGACTTGATCTCTAGGAGGAGGATGAAAAAGAGAACGTGTTGAATCCCACCACATAGTTAGTGCACAGCTGTCAAGAGGGATGGATGAAAACCTCCATTAAGGCAAAAAAGCACTACCTGTCTTTGTGCTTTGGAAAAGCAATCCTGGGCTGTTCGAGCTACATTTGGGCCATTGGCAGCTCCGTTAGCAGCTCCATTGGCAGCTCCATTCCAGCCCTGACCGTCAGCACAGCTTGATCAACTGTTCATGTCCCTATATCATGGCATAATAAATACAGACATAGCCCTCAAAACCCAGACTAGAGCTCTGAATCACAATGTACCTTTGTACTAGTAGAACAAAGATAAATGATATAAAAAAGAAACACTTTCTAAATAAAGTACAGCAGATCTGAAGGGAATGCATGTAAAAATTTCTAGAACAGAAGCCTATGTTTCTCCTGCTCTCTCCTAGCAGATTAAGATCTATTTTTAAACACAAAAACAGGTATAAAAGGGTCATTGACATGTTTTGTCAGAAGTTTTTGTAAATGGTAACAATAAAATTTAATAAATTATTTATTTTTCTTCTGATCTAGAAGCAATTAACCAGGGACACCTCTCCAGTAAGCCTATGGACTACACTGCTCACCTGAGCTGTCTGACAACAAGAGAAAATTTCTGTTACTCTGGTTATTTTGTTACAGTCCTCCTTTCTATATCCTTTAGATGAAGACTCTGCAGAAAAATTTTGATCAGCTCCATAAGGAATATGAAACACTGCTGGAAATCCACAGAGAGACTGCAGAAGAGCGAGACAACTTCTGCACTGAACTCCAGCGAGTTCAGCGCAACTACACACCCCGGCCAAACTGGCCAAAGTGTTCAGGTGCCAAATGTATTCAGTAGTGGGTTGCTTAAGGCAGCTCATCTTTAAACACTTTGCTATGGTGCATTTCTTACCTGCAATGCCCTGTTTTCTCCTAGGCTTTTAGGAGTGGCCTGAGAGGAGCTTGCAGGGTATATTCCATTTTGCCTTAGACATCTTAGGAGACAAACTAGACATCTAGAGATCTGTATCGATTGTAAGGCTCCTAGTGGGATTCACAAAAAACCAGTATGTGTGGGCACATTCTCCTCTTCTAGGAGCTCAGCATCTTTTTGCTTTTGTAGAGGTGATTCCTGGTGGAGCTGACCGGTGGGCCTGTCTGGCTGAGGGGAAGAGCAGCAGTCAGCTAGTGGATGTGCTTCTGGAAGAAATAGGAACAGGAGTGCTAAAAGATATAAATGTCTTCCCTGGATGGGTATGTGCAAGCTTTCTTCTCTGCTTGTTTCTACTGAGATTAATTGGTAATAAATATCCATTAGGAAGGTGGGAGAATTGGTTTCATGGCTGGTGTCTTCAATATTCACCTTCCCATTAGTGTAACCACCAAAAAGTTTAAAGCTAAGAAAATTCAGGTGCATTAGAAAAGCTGAAACTGAGAGTAAGCATGCTGAAGTAGCTACACTTTACAAAGATGCTACATGAATCATCAGACATGCAGGTATTACTAGTGGGCTAGAGCCCCTTACTAATGCTGCACTATAGGGCTGAGACAAATTAACAGCTTCCTGCTGCTGAAAAGCATTGTCCTCCCCTGTCCCTATCCCCTGCTACTGGCTGCAACAACAGGGAAGTATCCAGCAGAGTAGTACTTTTTTCCCCAGGTTAGTTCTCTGCTGATGAGATGAACTCAGACAAAGCACTAGAATGACTAAGAGTAAGTAGCAAGACTACATAGTAGGGAATGACTCCTTTTTGTGGCATCAGGAAGTTAATTCAACTCACATTGCCCCATTGCACTGCACCCCAGCACGTGGGAGAATCAGGAAATGATACAGGGACAAGGAAATGTTACAAGGATTCTTCACATCATACAAAGCATAACTGCATCCAAAGGTTTTCTCAGGGAAAAAGTAACATTTCTTTAGTCCTTCAACATCTTTTCCTCAGCCTTTCCAGAAGCTTGAACTGTTTGCCCTGCCATTCCTGGAAGCCATTTCCAAGGAAGATCTTTCCTCTTCTATTCTTGCTGGGCAGAACCTCTCAACAGAGTCCCATTTTGTCTAAGGACAGGTTTGTCAGCTCACTGCTGCTGAGAGAAGGTCCCACACCCTCCGCTGCAGCTATAGTTCCAGCTGAAAGCCCCAAGGTGACCACAGAGTTTCTAGTACAACACAAAGGGCTTTAACATCGCTCTACTGTAATAAATGACTTATTGACTGCAAATATATTACGCTAGTCATCAGGTATGCTCACAGCTGCCTGGACACAGCAGGGAGGGCATCAACCAACATCACTCATTAACTAAGTTTTAAGTAGTGTAACTGTAGGGAACAGGCAATGTGGCTAACATGGGCCCCATCTTAAGCAGGTCCACGCTGGAGCAGTTGAGGCACACTGCAGAGGTGCTGACAGATGTGTTTTACAGTGCTGGGAATGAGACTCACACAAATGACTCATTAAAATGGCTTTAGATGCTGACAACATGGCTTTGGTGCTGCATCACTGCCAGTGAGGGGAAGGCCTTACCTAGATCTGTTTCTTTTCCATTACTTAGGGCAAAGGTGACAAAGTTCCTGTGTACCTGAGGCATGAAGGTGAAGTCAAGAACAAAAAGCTGACTAAGAAGGATGTGGTGAACATTCTAAAGGATATCTGGAAGGAGAAAATTGCACTAGAACAGCAGGTCTGTCCCATTTTCCTTCTCTACAAACAGCTTTTGCTATGACAGTCAGTCCAGTTTGGGAAGCCAGGGTCTCACCCATGTCCTGACCTAGTGCTTCATCTGTATCGAGCTGCATAAAACATTGTTAAGAACAAACTGCCTCAGCTGGCAGTAACCCTGTGCCTGGCAGGGCTCCCCAGGGATCTGACTCACGAATTAGGACAGTGTCATGTGGATAACTGGAGTAGCTCCATCCCAGGCCTAAGAGGCTTCTTCTGCAGCTCCTACTCCCAGGACACTGCGAATTCAGAGACATTCAGGAAACCAGAAGTCAGCACTGGTTGCTTTGATGTCCAGGGCCGTAAACTGCAGTGGTCCAGCAGCTGTTGCAAGAGCAGCTGAGCTGTCAGTGAAAACTCCTCCACAAGGCAGGGTGCCCAAGGGAGGAACCACTGCAGTCACCCTGAGCTAAATCAGCCACACTCATGAGTCCAAGACCTCAGATACATTGACTGCTGCTATTCTGAGGTGTGATGGTCTCCGTAGACCGCCATGCCATCATGAGTACGCAACGTCTGTTCTTAGGTGGTGGAAACCTTGGCGACATCTGTGTGGCCAAAACATGGCCAGGGTTTTTTGCTGGGGTTGATTTTAACCCATGCCAGTCCATTATTAAGCTCCATAGTGTTTGTGCCCATGCAAGACAGGAACAAGTGGCATTGCAGGAAAAATGAGGAGCGGGGGCAAAAAATATAATATACGTTAATTCATTTATCAATATAAAAGTAGTTTGGTTTTGTTACACAAAACCCAAAGAATTTCCCCTTCTTTGTGGGCAAAGACGGGTGGTTTTGGAGTGACAACTGGAGGCCAAAGGGGTGAGGTATGTGTCCTTTGCAGAGGCAGATATAGGTTGCCTGTCTGGGGCAATACAAGACTCAAAAAGAGAATAAAAGTGGCTGTTTAATTCTTCCCATGATAGGGACAAGTATGACACCATCTCCCCAGATACTGGACAAGCCCTGTTACTGTGCCTCAGTCATATGAGAGCAACCTTGGGAGAGACAGAATCACTTTACAGGTTTCTTCTTTTGAGCTAGAAGCCTAGAAACATCTTTGAGACTGGCCCTAGACAGCTTACTGTTTTCTATGCCAGCTTGTCTTTTACTTTCAGCTTGGTTTCCTGAGGAAATAGGGTCGCTGCAATCACTGCCTGGCTCTACTTCTCTCCAATAACTGCTTCCATTTCTCAACCCGTGAGCCAAGCTCATCTAAATCTGACAGACTGCCTCACAGGTAGCAAGTCTGTGAACTTACCCACATTTAGAGAACAAACCTGGGAGAAACATTTTGAATGACCTAATAACAGGGAAGACTCCAGCCAGCCCTAGCACTGTGTTAGCACCGTGTGAGATACAGACATCTGTACACAAACACCTAGAATCAAACGGGCAGATTTGATTTAGTTCTGCTGCTTATGGGAGATACTCTCTTGTTATCCCTCAGACAGGGAAGCAATCCAGTCTTCCCGAGTTCTTTCTCAGCTACCTCCAGAAGAAGTATGGAGATGCCGCTGCCATGGAATGGTCTTACACCCTCTACGAGAACATGCGACTCTGTCGATCAAATCACGTCCTGAGCTCATTCTACAACATACTCACCGGGAAGGTAGGCAACCTGCAACCCAATGCCGCCCTCTGCCCAGACATCCCTGTGTGACAGGCCGCAGGCAAGGGAAGCGTTCCTCTGCAAAGCAGCTTCATCTCCCATTCCTCACCCTGGGAAGCTGCACCTTCTCAGGAGAATAAAAGTAAACACTGACATGCACTAAAGAAGGGAACCCTGTCCATGCATGGCAGGCTCTTACTGCTCCCAGCAGAGCTTCTAGAAGACCCCATTTCTTTCAAACACATTAGTCACATTGTGTCTGTTCTCTCTGATGAGAGGCTTCTGTTTGCAAGACTTACAGGCCTTTTTGTCTCAGTATGTCTTTCTTGAAACAGCTCATGGTCTGTGCCTGTGCAGTGTTCGTGAAGATCAGGGGACAATCTCTGAACTGCAGGGCCGTGCAGGCTCTGGCAGCTTTGCTCCCCGCTCCCCAGCACTGCGTCAGAGCTGGAGAGCTCTAGCTACGTAGCCACATCTTTCCATCTCCCACAACAAAAACACATATAACCTCCCCCCCACCCCCCAAGTCCTCTTATACTTGCCCTACTTATGTCTTGCTTGGAAGTGGAAAAGTGGCTGGGACTAAGTGCCACCATCTGGGCAGGGAGGCAGCCGCCATTTGGGGGGATCCAGGGTGTGCGTCTGCAACTGAGGGTTTAACAGTTTAAGGAAGTTGTTCAACAAGAAGCCACTGCATTGCTTGCCTAATTATTTGTAAATTGCTAAAAGCTGCTCAGGTAAAAGTTGCTTTAGAAGCAAGCACAATCCTTTTGCAGTTTTGATTACCTCTTGAAGGTAGTCCAAGGGACAGATGGGATGGTTACTGACCTGTGAACCTTCCCTGTTTCACAGGTGGGTGAACAACAGTACCACAGCCAGAATCAGCTGATTTCCAACCTGCAAAAGGAGCTGGCTGCCTGTGACAGCTCAAACAGCGGATCCCTGACCAGCAAGCAGTTCAGGCAAGAGGCCAACTGTTGCCCACTGAGCTCTGCCCATGTCTGGCTCACATGAGATGTTGTGATATGCTGAGTCTGTCTGCTTTGCTTATCTGCCAGTGCAGCCAGGGGAGGAGGTTTTTCTCTCTTTTAAATTTCTACGCAGACAGCTCTAGCAAGTATATACTCGTTAACGTCTGCATTAGGTTTAGAATAATGTGAATGTTGCAAGTTTTGAGTAGTGCAACTGAAGAGGCCTGAGAGCAGACATGGGGTGCTTCACACATACAGTGGGACAGGCTGGCAGCCCCTGCACTCTGCCATGCTCCCTGAGGGGACACGGGACCCTACGCAGTGCTCCCACGAGCTCCTATGGTAGGTCACAAAGCACTTCTGTGAATTTTGCTACAGGTGCAAGGTTTGTTAATCTTCTCCCAGTTCATCAATCAGCTGTGCCTTCTTAACTGAAACCCTAAATACAGGATTGCTTTGGGCCATGGCAGAGAAGAGAAGCAGCAGCCATTTCCAGCACTTAGCTGGGAACATGGCTCCGGTACAGACATGCTAACCAATTTGGTCTGGGGTACCAGATAACCCATGCTCACGGTTGCATTCAGAGTTTCCCACATGGCTCAGCATCCAACATTCACCTGAGTCCTAAGCTCTGCTGAAAGCTTTGCCCTTGTTTTGGTGTCTGAAGGTGCACATGCTTCTCAAAAAATGAAAGCAATGAATTTTTGAAGATCTGGCTCATGGAATACGTGCACACACTGGTAGCCTAAAAACACAGCCAGCCATGCTGGCAGTCGTTAAGTGCTCGTACTGTAACAGCATACACACTGCTGCCCGTATTGCCTGTCTCCACACAGCATGGCTCTGAGGGAAGCTTTTCCCCTGAAAAGGAAAGAGTCAGTCCAAGAATTACTTGATGCAAGCAGGTACAAGCTGGACAACACTGAAGACCTCATTGACTACATATCCTTATTCAAAGAAGTAAGCTGATGTTACTTAAGTTTTCCTTTTGATTCAGATTAAGCCTAATTTAGGGATTAAGTTAGTTTTATCAGACTAACAAAGTTGCAATGCCTGCCACAAGCTCTAACACCTGAAGGCCATCTGCAGACAATGGCAATGCAAGCTTGTGCTTTTGCTGTGAGAGGAGTTTTTCCATATTCTTGCTCTTTATTTCCACTTTTCACATGGAAATTCCATTTCTAGGAGAGCTGAGTTATTTTAATACATATCAGAGGGCAGCTCCTATCCAGACTGGAACACATATTCAGTGCTAACACACCTGTAATTTCTTTCAGGATGAGGAAGGGAATGCTGAGCCTTTCGTCGCAAAGCTGAGGAGCCAGTATGTCAGGGAGAAGCAGGAATATCTGAAACAGCTGAAGAGCAAGCTGGGAGATGTAATGTAAGTCTGGAGGAAAGGGGCTGATGGGGATAGTAGATCAGGACAGTGCGTGCAGAGGGAACCCACTGTGGACACAGGAGTGTGTGGCCAGCACAGTGTCCCCCTGCACTATAGAGGGCCCCTGCTGTGAATATTGCAGTAAATAGTGAAACCTGGCTGAACCCTGCTCTGCGAAACACTGAACGGTGTCAGTTCCTGACACAAAGGACTTGGATATGGCAGACAGCGAGTGCAGAAGATTGGTTGTACCAATAATCCCCTTCAGTACCTGAAGTCTCACGTCTCAACATTCCTCAGCTCTCCAAATATAGCAGTAAAATTCTGTTCATCCTCAGAGATTGGTTCTGAGGAGTGGGAAGAGCAAACAGGACTGACAACTGCAGATTTAAAGGTGCAAACCTGAGAAATAATTCCACCTCAAAACAAGAGGCGGTCACTGCATAGAGAAAAAGCCTGGTGCTATGCACCGAGCACTGAGGAGAACACCGAAGGTGGGTATATGCCCATGAAGTTAAGTACTGTCCAACATGGGCACTGAATTAGCAAAGGAAAATGTAGTTCTGTAACAAGGATATCACAGTGCACAACAGAGTGAATTTAAGGTCTTCCCAGCTTATCACAAGTCTAACATTTCCTCACTTCTGTTCAGTTTGAAATTTAGTACTTATCAGCCTTTATTACATGTGTGTTTAAAAAACAAAGGGATACTAGTAGAGGCAGAGATAACAATATCAAAAGACATCTCTGCTCTGTATTTCAAGCAACATGGATTCTCACTGTGGCACAAATAAGTAAATATTCTTTTCACATACTACAGCATAGCAGTGACCGAGTTGTTTTTGAACAGAGAGGTGAAGGCAGATGACCTGAAGGGCGCCTTCTGCACAATCGATCCTGATATTGATGATCAGACGCTAGATACCTACATTGGCCTGGCTTACCAGGTCCGAAGAGAACAGCCAGGCCAGGAAGTTGTGCCCGTGGAAACCGCACTTGAGAGACTGCTTGCTGGAGATGTGAGACGAGTCGGGCCCTCACCCAGGGAGGGAAGCACGGCAGGCTTTGAAGGAGAGTAAGCAGACTTCCAGTATTAAGAATAAATCAACTGTTTGATCTGCAGGTTTTGATACCAAACTGGCAGCCAGAGTTACTGCACTAAATACTTCCTCCCATGCATACAGAGATACACCTAGTAACTAACAGCTGAGAGCATAGGCTAGCTTGAACTATCAGAAGCACTTTCAACTTAAGCAGCAAAGCATTCCAATACAATTTTGCAGACTCCACAGAATCATTTCAGCTCAGCGAGACTTGCAGTGGGAGGTTGCCTGATCCCCAAACAGAGGCTTCACACCCCCACAGCACTGGCCACTGCAGGGTGTTGGGGTCTCTGCTTGGTAACAAAACAAAACAACTACACTCCAGCAGCCATTGCTAGAACCTGAGAAGCCGTCATCAAACTCCAGCCTGTGACATGGCTGCTTTAGCCCTTGGGCCTTACGGTTCTTTGGCTCAAAGGCAAGGTTTCAAAGACACATTTGCAAAATAAAGTGCCATCAGCACAGTGAGTGTGCACATGAGAGGCGAGTTCAGCCCACACGAGGTTTGCTATCGTGTCTGTCGCCAAGACTTTTATCCTGGTGTAGCTGCTGTTGTCCACTATGAAGTCACTTCAAAAGAAATTTGAGTGCTGCCCCACGAGTAGGTTTAACCAAACTCTGAGCTGGAGAAGTAATCCAAGCACAGAAACACTGAAATCTGTTCCTTGCTTCAAAGAAGACACCACATGCATTTGGTAACTGCCTTGCCAACCACTGGCATCAATTAATCTTTCCTATTTGTTGATGTGCTCTCTATCCAGCACATAGCCCTCTCCAGGGAGGGGAATAAGGGTTCTTGAAACAAAAACCCCGTAGGAAAACAGCTCTGTTATGGTTGTGCCTCAATTGCCGAGTAAGCGGAGCAAACCCGAGAGGCAAAACCCGTTCTTCTCACAACATAGTTTGAAAAGTAGAAAGGAAAAAGCTGAAATCAGAAATCGTCTTCCTAAAAAAACCCCACAATTTTCGCGAGCATTTGCAAAAACTGACTGCATTTGTAAACTGGAAAGGCATCACAGCCTGCGCAACAGAGGAAGTACCACCCAGAGGTAGGAGGCCCCTGGGATTTCTGCTTTGAATACTGAATTTGGTGCCGGGCACTTCCAACACAAATCACAAAATACCAGGAAAGGAACTGTATTTTAGTGAACAGGGAGACGCATCATCTAGCTAGAAACCAAATGTCCTAACTGCAGGTATCTCTAGGAATATTCTGAAAGGAACTAGGGCAAAATTCAGTATATCTAAAGAGGACAGGGAACTTAAACACCAAGAAAGTGTTTGGTAGATGAACATCAAATTTGCAAAGCTATTCAAAAAAGCCCCTAATGGGGATGTAAGAGAAAGGAGTGGGCTACAGAGAGCAGGAATCGTTCATTTTGCTTCACCCCGAGGACTTTAGATCTCTATGAGTTAATGGCTGTTTACAGGGCCAGGTGTCTCTTTCTTTTGCCCTTCCAGTTACATTGTTAGGACTTGAACAATGTGTCCCTAAAAGTCTTGAATTTAGTTAACCCTGACTTCACTGCAACTAGATGCTGAACACATCTCAACAGAAGAGAAAGACCAGATGGGGAGTCTTACCTCTCCCTCTCACAAAATTCCCAACAGTCAAAGCCCCATCATCTCCTGCCTTCAGCTGGAAGCTGTTCAGGTCAGGAACCTGGCAGCTGAGTGTCCCGATCCGATGTCGGGGAAGGTTTCGATATGATCCCAAGAGCAAGATTAAGACACAAACGAGGTCAAATGCCATATAGTCAAAATAGGTTTTATTATCAAAATTATCAAAATGGTAGTGATAGGATAGAATGGAAGAAAGAAAAGGTAGAAATTAAGCAAGCAGTTGGGATAGGATTGCTAGGATAGTCACCACCACGGATCCAGCGGTGTCCCGTTGGTCCTCAGGGAAGTAGTCGGTGGTGGGAGTTGTAAGGATGGTCACCACCACGGATCCAGCGGCGTCCCGTTGGTCCTCAGTCTTCAGTTCTTTGGTGGTGAAGAAGGCTCCGACACAGCTTGTCTCTATGAGTTTTTTATAGGGTATATTTCAATGATGTCATGCGCTGCAGGTTTTGTCCATCACACGACCTTCGCGTGATCAACACCCGAAACCAGTATCTTATCAACTCCAGCCCCGTTTCCTCCTCTGGATGCCTCAATGGCCTGGTAATCGTCCTTATCCGCAGGAGTGTCCTGCTTAAACAGGCCATCTTAGAGACAAAGGGCTCAAGATAAGCAGTTCACAGTTCCTTGAGATGATGGTCCAGTCCCCCACACCTGACAATCTTTGAGGCAAATGGTTCAGGATAAGAATTCAGTCTCTTACACTGAGGAAGCTAGTTGCAGATGTGTCCTCCCAGCATGGCTGCAGGAGGAGGCAATACAGTGGAAGGAAAGAAGAACCAGCGGCTTCTTCCTGGGAAATCCTCTCCGTTCTCTCCTTAGGAAAAGAGCGTTCTCACCATGGTTTAGCAACAGAGGGAAAAGGAGTTGGAAACTTCATTACTACTTCAGATCAAAATGTTCAAACTCTGGCATGCAAAGCCTCAAGGGCACACTTGAACAGTCCCATAATGACAGAAAATATATTTTTAAAAGTAAAAGTTTTGCCTTATGTTTGTTCAAACAACAAAGCTGTTGCCTTTTGAATATTGCAAAAAAATCCCCTTTGTTGTATTAATGGAATTACTTTAAAAAAAAAAACAACTTGAAAAATGACTGACCTTTGTATTGGTATTGCCTGCCAAAGAGATTTTAACTAAATTGGTCATCATTTCCTTCAGTTTTGTGCAAAACCTGTTTAACTTGCAAGCGTTGCTGCCAAGAGCTGGGTTGGATTTCCAGGAGACCTTATTAACTGCACCATTTGGCTGTAGTCTTAGGAAACTCTGCTGTGCGCACAACTTAATCCAGAGACAAGGATTCATACTTGGCCATGGGATTTAGGACAGGCTTAGGATGGGGAGAAACTAGAGGGTGGCAGGCATCCTGTGTGACCACCAAGCTGGCTGCACCATTGCAATTAGAGCCTGTGCAGACTGTCCCGCCCCAGGAGCATCAGAAGAGCCAGCAGTGAGATGATGATTGCGCTGAGCTTTGACTTACCTCAAGTGGACGTGCTGACCATGCTCAGCTTCTCTCTATCCTGTTTGAGACTGCAAAGCAGCAGCCTTGAGCCATCCCGTCTTCACAGACATCTGGAAATTTAATTAATCAATTTAAAGACTCAAGTCTAAGTCAAATTAATAAATTTAAAGGCTCAAGGTTTTCAAGTTCAAGACAGAGATGCTAAGAATTAGGGGGAAAAAATAAAATTATTAATTTTTCTTAGAAATTAAGTAAGCATCATGTCTTACCTTGGGAATTACAGACTAGCTATATAAAAGGAAACTGCAGTAGACTAGTGTGTCAGACTGACCCCCTGGAAAGACACTGAAGACCACACTGATGAAAAACATGTGAAGTTTGATATCCATATCCATCCCTCTGAAACTGGTGTGACAGGTGTCATTCTTCCCCAGCTTCTGAGTTGTTTTACAAAGTCATGGTCCTTTGCACCTGAAGTCCTTTGCTGTGGCTGATTCCTGGTGTGCTTTAGGTTCACTGTAAGCAGTAAAATCACTTACAAGAATTTTGCTTTTATCATCTTCCTACTTGAGGAACACAAGGGAGCACAGTGCAGATGAGCTCTGTGCAGCAACCACCTGTACGAAGCCGCAGGTGGAAAGCCAAGTGGCACCATGCACCATGGCTCACACCAGGAGCAGAGTAGCAGAAACTGCACGGGTGTGTTGAACATGCAGAGGATTTATTTGCACTTTTACTTACAGAGTCACCGCTTGGATCTTGCGGCTTTGGATCGTGACGTGGGGTGCCAGCACACAACAGTAGCAGGCCGACCTCTGCAGAGCAAACTGCAGTTCATGGAGCTGGACCCTGCTTCACAGAGCAGCTTCTGGCATGGCCTGCCTCCTTGGTGGCACTGCCAGGCGGGAGCGGTGACTTTCCAGATACATTTCTGTGTGTAGACAGGGGACAGCACTGGGGCTGGCAGAAAACAGCTGGTGAAGCGCAGCCTTCAGCTGTGGGGTTACACTACCTGCAATGGGGGGGGGGGGGTTAACCATAGCTGGCTGCCAGTCACCCACCCAGCTGCTCTCACTTGCCCTCCTCAATAGGATAGCAGGAAGAAATTAAGACGGCAAAAGCTCATGGATTGAGATAAAGACAGGGAGATCATTCACCAATTACTGTCACAGTCAAAACAGACTTGACTTGGGTAGGATTAATTCAATTTATTGCTAATTAGAGAAGGATAGTGAGAAACAAAGTTAAAACTAAAAAAGATCTTCCTGCCACACCGCCTTCTTCCTAGGCTCAACTAGCTCCTTACTGCCAAGCAGTGCAGAGGGGATGCGGAACTGGGGGTTTCAGTCAGTCCGTAACACCATGTCTCTGGTCCCTCCAATGGGATACACTCCTTCAAGAACTGCTCCAGCATAGGTCCCCCACAGGTCCCTGCCAGCAAACCTGCTCCTGCATGGGCTCCTCTCCATGGGCTACAGCTTCCTGCAGGGCATGTCCACCTACCATGGCGTGGGATCCTCCCCAGGCGGCAGGTGGATATCTGCTCCACCGTGGTCCTCCATGGGCTGAAGGGGGACAGCCTGGCTCACCATGGTCTTCTCCACAGGCTGCAGGGGAGTCTTGGCTCCAGCACCTCCTTCTTCACCGACCTCAGTGTCTGCAGGGTTATTTCTCTCACACTTTTCTCCTTACTCCTTCCACCCACAGCTGCTGCGCAGCATTTTTACCCTTTCTCAAACACATTATCACTGAGATGCCACTAGCATTGCTGATGGACTGAGCTTTGGCCAGCGGTGGGTCCATTTTGGAGCTGGCTAGAACCAGCTCTGTCCAACACAGGGGCCAAAGGCCACTCCTGCAGCCTTCCCCCCATCCCACTACCAAAACCTTGCCACATAAACCCAGTACACGCAATTAACTCCACCTGAATCAATCTCTCCCAGTCTATCTACCATGTGTGCACCAGAAAATCTCATGTCTGAAATGGTCTTAAAATTATTGCTTGCTAATTCCCTGTGAGATTTGGTTATATATGAAGTAAATATAAAGTCTATTTTCCCATTTCAGTTTACATCAGTAACCAGCTGTGGTCACAGATGGACAATGATCTACTCTTGACACAGTAGACTAGGTTTGCAAAGGGGAACAAACCCCAAGTTTGAAAGCCCCTGCTTTAAAAAAATACACAGCTGTAACAAGGATCTGCTGCTTTTTGGAAGGCAGTACACAACTTTTCTCCTTTGAGCAAACAACTGGTTAGTATGATGAGCATTGACCCACCTCAGTGTCTATTAGGAACATTTTGAACACCACAGTGCAGTAGCCTTTCAGCTCACCGGAATAAAGTAGCATTTGCATCACGCAGAATACATATTTTATTTATCAGAGCTGTACAAGTATTCAAAGGTAACATAAAAAAATTCAGGTTCATCAAATGACTTGTAACAATAGTTGGTGAGATCCAGCAGGCTGGCCTGATAGCCAGATCACAGCCTGCGTCAGTTCAAGAGAATGTCAACTGTTTATTGCCCCACTAGTTCCTTGTGGGAAACCCTCACACAGAGCAGTTCCACTGAACAGCGTCCAGCCAGCCTCTGCGAGCAGGCCGTCTTCCCACCCACAGGGGCCACTGCTGCCAGAGGGGCACGTTCATTTGCAGGGGAACACTTTATTTCCACTCACAGCAACCGGAATCAGGAGCTTCCTGTACTCCAGAGGGAGGTAACGCTCTATCAGCACATGCAACGGCATCTTGTCTGTCACCAGCCCTTGTCTTTGTTCAAAAAGAGGAGAACAGAGAAGAAACAGAGTTGTACTTTACCCAAGTATGAGCTCATTGCTTTTTAAACTCACAATCCACCTGCCACAGGATAAATTTTACCATTTAAAGACATACACAGAATGATGTAACAGAAGCAAATAGCTCGTTACCCAGGATTTTTTTACATTCCCAATTCAGAGGTGGTTGGCATTTTCCAACTGTGTAGGGCATGTAGTTTTCTAGTATACCATTTAGCTGATTAGCCTGAAAAATCAGCATCTCCTAGTCTTGTAGAAAGGAAAAAAAGCAGCATTTATTTATGCTTTCCTTGTGAAAGGAACAGAAATACTGTTCTTATTCGTGAACCAGCAACAACTCCTGATCCCTTTACGAGGCAGTGGAAAGGCATAAAGACATCTAGAAAAAGGTAAAACAACAAGAGTACGGAATCCTCAAATCTGGCCAACTAAACTGTCGCACCTCTCAGCCTCTTCATACTGATTTTAGCACAAACCTGTCAGGTGGGAAGATGAAAATCTCTGGACCAGGACAACAACAGATTATTTTTTTAAGCAGCAGCACCAGCTCCATCTACAGAGGCCCATGCAAAGCCTTTAATCAGACATGCCCTGCAAAATCCCTCAGATGACTTCAGCATCGCATCTGAAACTCTTCCAGTGGAGATGAGGAATAACAACTTGGCATAATGATAATGACTTTAAAAGAGGAGCAATGGATTTGTTTCAGGCCACACAGAGTTTTATAGAGGGCTCCCAAGCCAAGAACCCCTTGTGTTTTGGTCACAGGACAAAATAAATTCAGGCATGAGATGGGGGAGCTGAAGGACCCCACAGGAAAGAGCAGCAGTGGAGAGGCTCCAAGAACAGTTCATCCAGGCTGCTGACCAGCCTGACCCTCTACGGGCATGAAGTGGCAGCATGAAGGGGGAACACAGTTGTTAGGAGAGGTCAGCCCTGGCCTGCCAGGCTGGAGACTCATTTTCCTGCTCTTGAGAGGAACTGTCAGTTTGAATCCAAAGTATCAGCTTTTGCAGGAGCAGGAACTACCTGAAAGAAGGTTGTGGCAAGGTGGGGGTCAGTCTCTCCTCCCAAGTAAGAGGCGACAGGGCGAGAGAATATGGCCTCAAGTTGTGCCGGGGAAGTTTAGATTGGATATTAGAAAAAATTTCTTCACCAAAAGGGTTATCAACCTTTGGAACAGGCTGCCCAGGGAAGTGGTTGAGTTACCATCCCTGGAGGTATTTAAAAGATGTGTAGATGTGGTGCTTAGGGACACAGTTTAGTGGTGGACTTGGCAGTGTTAGGTTAATGGTTGGACTCGATGATCTTACAGGTCTTTTCCAACCTAAATGGTTCTATTGATTCTATGATTCTGTTTGGAAGAGTAAGTCATCAAAACAGAGAGCAGGGCAGGTGAAAATGCTCACGCTATTTCAGTTGCAAGCACTTTGAGTAAAGAGATCGCTCAGGGACACAAACAGTGCAGCCCAGCCTCGCACTTACTGTTACTCTCTTTTTTCTACTGAGACCATTTCCCAGCCATAACAGCTTCACCCTTGCACACATCCCCCTCCTCTTGCTACTTGTTCCTCAGATGACTCCTTGCACCCCCAACCCCTCATTCCTTCCTTTTGGCCCTCTGCCACCATCATCATGGAGTATAAAAACCCACATCCACGAATGCCCTCCTGGGACAGAAGACCAAGTGGCATCACAAGACACCACACTTCCTGTGGAAATACTTACTGCTAGTGCACACCCTGGCAACGACAGTCTTACCGGGCTATCAAAGCACTACTGAACACTACTACAAGTTAGTAATAACTTTCCTTTTACCTTCTCATGAGGACTTCCAGGTCAGCCATCTCCACTGTCTTCCTCCCTGCATGGTTGGTGTAAGCTTCCAGATCGCTGCTTAGCTGCTTGAAGTATCTCTCACAGCTAAAGGAGGATTGAGGAGGGAAATAAAATCAGGCTGTGGAGTGTGTGAACTTCTGTAGAGCAAGCTGCACTAGAACTGCTTGTCGTGCAGGTCACAGCCTGCCAGAGAAAACTGCAGGAGAAGAAACACTCCGCAGCCACCCAGCTCACGGAGACTGCTAATGATATTACTGTGCTGTTAGCTAGAGAAGATTGTGAATGGTGCAATTTGCACTGGCTGGGACAAAACCCAGAAGCTCCTGCAAGGCAACGTTGGTCACAGATACCCTCACAGCAGCCAAAAGCTCCTAGCACATTTCTGTCCTTGTTTTAACCAGACCTCCCGTGACTCTCCCCACAGCTGAATAGGGAGGGCTGCCAGCTTCCCAGCAGTACTCCTGACAGGTTTGTTATTTCAGGAGAGAAAAGAAAGGGGGAAAAAAAAAAAAAAGACTAGAAAGAGTAGGGGGAGGAGGAGGAACAGTTTGCTGTCACTTACCATTTTTCAACAATTTTGTATGCATCTCTGGCCACTGGCATTTTCACATAATGGCTAAATATCTTCTTTATCAAACTACTTGCTACTTCAGGCTTACTTGTTTTCCTCCGTGTCGCTCCCGAGCTCTTTGGAATTGGCTTGGCCCGCAGCGGCTGCAGGGGAGACCTTTGGGGGAAATTGAAAATTCGCGCATCAAATGAACAAACATAGGGGAGAGGCAGAGAACACATCAGGCTGAGTTTGGGCAAACCTTATGCTGAATTTAAAGGGGTACAAACTACCTCAAGCTCTTAATTCTTTCTCCCCCCCAATTCTTCAAAACCTTATGCACATGAAGTACAGTTTGCAAACAGTTCACATAGCATTGTGACCTTGGGAGAAGCAATCCAGACTCAAGTTTCCCAAGATAAACATGCTAGCATAACAGATAGTCAGCAAACTATAGTTGCCTCCAATACATAAATGCAGTTTTCACTGCATCCCTGTAGTATTCACTCTCCAGGAGTGCACAGAGTTTGATGCATCCACAGGTCACCTCTGTATCTGCAGACAGGAGTCTGGTCTGCAGGGTATACTTTTACACTATTACAAACATTTTGTTTAGTGGGTTTTTTTGTGGATTTTGGTTTTTTTTTGGTTGGTTGGTTTTTTTGGTGGGTTTTGTTTTGTTTTTTTTTCTTAAACATGACCATAAGTCCCAAAGGAAATTACGACTGTTTTCCATTCTAAAAAGGAAAAATTGTAACATGAAAAAGGGAAGGAAAATCTCTAGATTCACTCAGTAGACAAGTGGAAAACAACAAAAAAAACCCCTGGAATCTCACACTAACACATGCAAAACCCACAGAGGGAGTGCATGTATCATTTGATTCGCTCACCAGCCCACCTGCATGTTCTTCTGTCAGAACCTCAGAGGCAGGTGGAAGAGATCAGCCCCAGAGATGAAGTATGGGTAGTAGTGAGACAAAAAACAGTCATTTAAGTCATCTTGGTTACTGTTCCTGTGCCTCAGCTTACCCATTTGTGAATGATTATATATGAACGTTTGGTTCACAGCATCAGGGCAAAATTCAAGTTTAGTGACTGCATTAGACATTGGTGTTTCTAAATGAAAAGTACTATGGCTCTAATCTGGTATAGCTAATCACAGTAGAATTGTACCAGTATAAAGAGATTATTTTATAGCAGAACATCTTAACCGTAGCTCTCACATGGTTATTGCTCCACTACATAACCTAGAGTATTCCTTGGGCTTTTAACCTGAGCATCGCTATCTCAGGAACAACCAGGCCCACTCAGGGTAGACTGCATTACGTAAAGTGCGAACAAACCATGCATTTTCTGTGCAACAACTTCCTGTAATCGAGGCTCTGAACCTGTAATTATGATCAGCTGTTATCTCAGCACAGCTTGAAAGCAAATCTGCATTCATTCAGTTCCACTTCAGCAAAGTATCAAAGACTCCTTTTTCTATTTTATAAATATATTTTACTATTCATGATTAGAGTGATCATCCAGCACCTTCTGGTAAGCATCACTCACCTTTGTTCACAGCAGGAAAGGGCACAAGAACTTGGTTTGATTGTTTATTGCTTCAATAAACAAAAATCTAGAGTCATGGGCTAGAAAATTCCTCCTGTTCCCTAGGAGATGAAGCATATGGCTTCACCAAATTTCTAGTTAAGAGGTTGACAAATGTTAATTTGTTTGGAGTAATGCAGAGGACAGGTTCACTTTCTGCCTCTAGGCAAGCTTTATTTTATACTCAGCATGTGGCAACTGCATACAGCTTTAGGCTTCTAAAGTCAATACAGATACATCATTTTATGCGATCAATGTAACATAATCTGCAATTCCCCCTTTTCTGCAAGGGCCTCTGCATCCCATACTGAAATCTATGGGTCCAGGGTAGCTTACCAGTTGAAAAACTCCTAGGAAAAGGTTTTGGCCTTCAGCACAAGAAAATATTACAAGAACATTCATTGGAAAGACTTGAGGCATCAGATCTGTTCTGGGAGAGTGCTGCCATTCACTTGATAGAATTCTATTCAATTACTAAAGCAGTGAATGAACTAGAGACTTCAGGACTCCTCCCTCCCTGCTACAGCTGATAAAACACAAAACAATTGACAAAGCTGGGCTCAGCGCTCTCCCCCTGGCACTAACACCCCACACACACACTTCTACCAGGCCACTGTTGAAGGTGGCTTATACTTACTTGGGAGAAGCAGGTTTTACAGGACGTGGAGTTGACAGCAGCGGCTTGTAGGCTGCAGCACGGACAAACGTGGGTGTCTTCATGGAAACCTCTAGGGAAAAAAAAGTACTTGAGGAACTGAACTCTATTTTCAGAGCTCCCGCAGCAAGCAGTGCTGCAGCAGCAGACAGAAGCCCAGCCAGCTTTCCACACATCTGTCCAGTGCCACACTGCCTGCGCTCAGGCTGTGGCTCCATGGCACCCTGAACCAGCACGACTGCTGGCTGCTGCAGTTCCACCCACCCCACCTCCTGCCACACAGGCTGGCGGCTTCCCTCCCACCCAGGTCCAGCCCATCAGCCCCCGTGCTGGACAAGCACACCAGGCAGGGCGTAGGAACACACATCGGGGCCAGGCTGCAGGGGCTGATGGCTGGGTCGACTTAGGCTGCCAAGAAGCTGCAGCCTCTTTTCCCAGAGAGAACTTGTCCTGGTTTCAGCTGGGATAGAGTTAACTGTCTTCCTAGTAGCTGGTACAGTGCTATGTTTTGAGTTCAGTATGCGAAGAATGTTGATAACACTGATGTTTTCAGTTGTTGCTCAGTAGTGTTTAGACTACAGTCAAGGATTTTTCAGCTTCTCATGCCCAGCCAGCGAGAAAGCTGGAGGAGCACAAGAAGTTGGCACAGGACACAACCAGGGCACCTGACCCAAACCGGCTAACGGTGTATTCTGTACCATGTGACATCCCATCTAGTATAGGAACTGGGAAGTGGGGGTGGGGAATCGCCGCTCGGGGACTAGCTGGGTGTTGGTCGGCGGGTGGTGAGCAATTGCCCTGCGCATCATTTGTACATTCCAATCCTTTTATTACTACTGTTGTCATTTTATTAGTGTTATCGTTATCATTATTAGTTTCTTCTTTTCTGTTCTATTAAACCGTTCTTATCTCAACCCACGAGTTTTACTTCTTTTTCCCGATTTTCTCCCCCACCCCACTGGGTGGGGGGGAGTGAGTGAGCGGCTGCGTGGTGCTTAGTTGCTGGCTGGGGTTAAACCACGACAAACTTCAAAATCTGCAAGCTACCTCACTGCCACCCTGCTAAATCAGTGGCAAATTGTCCTGAACACAGGGACGAGCAGAGCAACAAAATCACATTACAAGGGTCAGTTTGTAGGCATCTCCCATATTTACAGGTTTTCATAAATTCCCTCCAACTAAGGCTCAGGTTATAGTCAGTACCTCACCTCCTCTTTGCTGTGAACCACCCATATCAGTTTCCTCCAAGCCTAATCTGCATCCTCTCACTTCACTCTTAAACTTCTTTACTTCTCAACAAGTGAGAGCAGGAAAGAAAACAATGTTAACAGAAATGAAATACTGAGTAGCTTCCTGTCTAGAAGAGGAGCAAGTGGTCTTGGAGGTCTTCTTGCCTGACAGTTTCCCTTGAAAGCTGAGTGCAGCCCTGTAGGGTTCAGCGTTCGGAAGATGTTGCGATGTCACGGAAAGTTAGAGGGTTAGTTGCAGCCTTATGATGTGTCTGTAATCCTGCCTACCCTTGTTAGTATAAAAGCAATTGACTGCGCAATAAAAGGCGGAAGTTGGCGCTCACACTGTGTGTGTTATCTGTCTCTTTCCCTGGTCTGGGGCTGACCAGTGATCTAATCGCGGCACCTTGATATGTGGCGAACGCTACACAGCCCAAGAATCCAGCATATCTGGCAATGTTGTCAACTTCACAACCCTCCCTAAAAGCTAGGACACCTGCCCTGTCACAGAAGACAAGCCCAGCTACTAGAGGGCTGAGGGCTCAGGTACTACTGAGAGTAGTACAACTCAGAGGGTCAGGAGTACCTCAGAGAAAGCAGGACCAGGTGAACTACCATGGTTCCTCGCATTAGCTTCTTCTGAAGAAATATTTGTGTGCTGGAGGGACAGGGAGCAGGATGCAGGAGAAGAGACTAGTTATGCTGAGGTTTCCGAGGTCAGTTTTATGACAAGTGTGCATAATTTCTCATCTTTTCTTCCTCTCCTTGTCCAATGAGACCTGTAAGATGCCACTCTTACTGTTCCACCCTATCAGCAGAGATCTCTTCATCAAGATCTCTCCATCTCTTCATACAGCTGTGTTAAAGATAAGCATGTTGACACACGATTGTAGATGTCCTAAGAACACCTACAGCTTTTCTTGTGGCAAAAGTGTACCAGTTCAACTGTCGTCTTTGTGCCTTCCACGCTGCACAAATACATACAGGCATTGATACTCTCATTACAGCTGTATTTCCTCACAATGCCTCAAATCCTGGCAATAAGATTCTTTTAGTTCAGTTTTTTATTTCAGGGTGTATTGTACTTTCAAAGACTTTAAGACCAGTCCCAAAAGACACCACTAAAACACATTCTGGGCATTCTCAAATGTGGCCTTGATCAAAGAGAACTCAGTCTGCTGTGTATGTTCTTCCAAAGGGCACGGCGCTCTTGAGGCAACAGAGCAGACTGATGCAGTGTCTGAAGAACTGTTTAGAAACAGACACTTCCTCTCAGCTTTCTGGAAAGCCAGCCTACTCTTTTGGTTAACTGGAAAGGAAATCTGTAACTACATGTCCAAAATATGGGGTTCTAAATCAGGTTTCAAGCCTGGAGTCACATAAATGGCTGTGGAAACAGCAGTTCAGTGCTAAGACATTAAAAAGTCAGCATGAAGTTAGGAGTCAGGAAGGAAGGAAGAATGAAATAGAGGATATCCCTATGTCACTATATAAAACCACTCTGCACTCAGTTTTGCCGATTCGTGCACTTCCATTACCTTCACCTCAAAAAAGTAGATGATCTAGCTCCCTGAAGCACCTGATAAGCCAGTAACAATCTGGCCCTAGGAATAGCAGCCAACAGCTTCCCCTGGACTATCCAATGGACTAAACAGTTAATCACATTATTAACCTACGTTGTTCCTCAATCTATCGAGAGGTAACAGGAAAAAATTTCTCCAACTGCCTTCTGCTACTGCTGCAACAGTACCTTCACCTTTTCTTACCTTCACTCTCAGGGTCTTCAGTTTCATTCACAGTAGGCTCTTCTTCCAGACCATCCAATTCTACCGTGATAACCTGGTCTTCTAGTTCATCTGCTTGTTCAATAGCTTCCTTTAATGGCTCCATCCCAGATTTTTCAGAGGAGGAAAAAGCATGAGAATGCCTGCCCAGACTTCCAGCTCCAACACCTTTGGCAATCTCACGTTCTACATTTCCAAAGCAGGAAAAATACATCACTGAAACAAGTATCATAGCCAAAATTTCAAAGCACTCATAAGAATGAAACCCAGCTTTCCATTCCTAATGACGTTGCCACCTATTATATTTCTATCTTCAAGGATTAGGGTGTCAATACACTAAGTTAGATAAGCTAAAGCACTGATGAATCCTCAACTTTTCCCTCTGCTTCCTCTAGGTCTGCAGAGGTCAAACAGAAAAAATAGCACCTGGTAATGTGGAGAAGCCCATGAGATTTTAGTGAAATTTTTATCTGAGATCCTTTTAAATGAACTTCCCTTAATAACAACTTTTATCTCAAAAGAAGTCTAACCAAAGCCTTAGCGCAGCATGTTGAACACAGAAGACCCAGCAATTCAGGAAAAGTAACTTAGAAGATCTTGATTTGCCAACACACTCAGAAGGTCTCCAAGTTTTATCAGTCTTTGCCTGATTCTAGAACTCACACTAGTTAATTTTAACTAAGCTTTCCACAATTATATATTTCTAAGCAGTATTGCCAATATAATTTTGTTTTCCATTTGAACAGAATGCAGTCTTTCAGCTTAAAATGCCAAAATTAGTTTGGTATTTTCCCAGCATTTAGCCCAGATTCCAGAATGCAAACAGAGTTAACAAGTCTCTCGCCCAGCACTGATGCCAATAATGCAGCTTGAGATGTCTCTGGCATTAGAGATAGTTGTCAGTATTAGAGGTTGTCCTCACCAGCTTCGGGAGAGCCTTGGTGTTCAATACTGCCTTCTGCTATTCCCTCTTCTTCCGAAGGGGCCATTTCTGTTTTAACTCTGGCATCTTCTACTGTAGTTATCTGCGATTCTGCTTTTTTGGTCAGTTTCTCCTCCAAATGTTCAGAATATCCAGCACTTGCACGATGCTCTGCAGCTAAAATAGGAAATTCTATCAACAATTTTACCTACAAAAAAACCCCAATCAACCACCAGCATACAGTTTAACAACCACTAAAATTTACTCATAAGTAAACTCAGCAATAGCCATAAGCTATAAATAAGGGAAGCAGATGCAGCTCCCATCCTAAAGTTTACAGCTAAGAAATGCACAACTTCTCCTGTGTTTGCTCTACAGCCATCTAATTAGGGTGCACATCAGATCCCGATGAAGGAATTTTACCTATCAGTAAGCAGAGCTCCTCAAAATCTGCCATCTCTACGTCTGTTCTCACTTTTGGTGATTGTGTGAAAGAAAAATTTCTTTTCCTTTAAGTCTAACAACACACGGAGTTTGTGCTCAGCTTTTCCTCCCCATTTTCTCAGTTTTTCTGAAGAAACAATTTTGCAAGAGTTACATTGCATTATAAAGAGGAGAGTGCCTAGCAGTGGTTTTAACCATCCCGGACAAGCCTCTAGCAGGCAGGATGAGGAGAAATAAATGGACACCATCGTCTCCAGTGACTGGGAGTTTTCACACTCAAAAGTACAAGTGTCAAGGCCTTGGGAGCCCTAAGCCCCAGTGAAGGGGACAAGGAAATTTGGCCAAAGGTGGTGCAAAAATCAGTAATACCAATCCCACTAACCAGAACATTGGACACTCTACACCAATGCAGGGCAAAATCTTGCCTAAAGTTAAGTGAAATATTAACTAGCTTTGCGGGGAGAAGACAAAAGCTCAGCTCTACACTAAGAGTGTATAAGGCAGACAGGCACCAGTGAGTATCCCCCACTACTGGATCCCTGCTGGGATACAGTACTTTAACAGTGGAGTACCAGATGATATTGACACATTCAAGTCTTAATTTTTACTGAATTCTTCACCTGTTGCTAGTAGCAATACCTCCTGTAGTTTGGTATAACCTGCTAGCTGTTAGTGCAAGTTGCTCCTCTCTAGTTGCTGCACTGACAGATCAGGGAGCTGTTTGTTTCAATTTGTTTGCTGAATCATCTCCTCCATGCTGCTCAAGGCCTTCCTTTTTAATCTCCTTACATTTCACTCCCATTGTCTTTTTTCCAGGCTGAGCAGTCCTTATCTTCAGTCATTCAATGCACAGAAATGGTTCCATATATTTGATTATCGTTAACAGTAAATCTGGTTTTCTCTGCACCTTCTCTAGTTCTGTTAAATCTATTTAGAGATGGAGAGGTTAGAACTGCACGCAGTATTCAAAAAGAGAGCATGACAATCATTTCCATAGTGACACAGTGACCTTTTGTCATCTCTTCCTTTCATAATAACTTTTACGTGTTATTTGCTTTTCTGACCATCCCCCAAGCTTTGAGCTGTTATTCACAGAACTGTAACAATTCTGAGGTGACTTTCATCAGTCTCAAGAGAAACATCCCATTTAAATTTCACACTCCACAGGCGCACCCAAGTAAAACTGTAACAGGACAAAAGAATCATGGAAGATTACAGGATGCCAGCCTTACAGAACTGTAGATTTGGAGGTGCAGAATACCTGCTACCTTAATGAACTACTCTAAAAGAACTGTTTAAAACAAAAGGCTATATTATCATGATAAAAAGGCAACATAACTAATTTTGGTGATACGTCTGGTATGTGCAAGCAATTACTTATGGGCACCGCAAGTATTCAGTTTAAAATTCTAATAACAAAACTGTTGGTGCTATAGACTGTGCAGTTTCCATACCACCAAAAGGTAATTCATATGAAACTTCAGACGTAATTAAGCCTAGGGAAAGGTAAACCTGCATGGCAATGGTATTCTCTCATTTCCAGACACTGTCAAAGGAACAATGGGAAAGACTTTAAAAGGATCCTACACTGGAGTCTGGAAAATGAAATTCAAGAAAACACAGGAATTTGTGTCCACACATACCCAAAGCTTTATGTAATGACTGGATAACACCTGCCACCCTCAGCATCTGCACAGAGTTTTTACTGTCTTACTCTAAGGCAAAAGGATTTCAGAGATAACTGAGAATGTGCTTGTGAAAGCAGACAACTTGCATGACTTGCTCTCTTCCAGGAACAAGGAGGTATGAAAGCCCAACCTACTAGTGACAATCTTTATTACTTAAGGGAGGGCAACCTTCAAGCCCTTGTCTTAAAAAGAAAAAGATGCTGGTTGGTACTGGAGAAAGATAATGGCCAACATGGCTTAAATAAATATAGTAAAGCATTAAAAGAGTGATTAGCCAGATATATTCCTTGCCAAGAGGGAGCTATTCATCTTTCTTATGGGAAGATGAGCAGTACTATGGACGTACCAAAAAATATGAACCTTTATTCCATTTGCAGTCACTGTGAACAAAGCAAATACTGACATGAAAGCACATGAGCAAGTCACAGCTTACTTTTAGAAAGCTTGTCTGGAAATGCTCACAGTATCTCCTATATGACTTGAATTAAATTATCTCTAGCATCTACTGCAAAATAAAGTCTTGTTTTACTCTGCAAGTCACCTGAAAAACTCTTGGTTTTAAGCAAAGTACTCCATTCCCTTGCAACACTGCAAGCACTTCTTACCCTCTCTGAAAATCTCTTCCTTTTCCACTTTGTTCACGGTATCAGCCATCTGCTTTTTCTGTATCGTATACATCTAGGTCTTCAACTACATGGGACAAAACTTCTCTCAAAGAAATGCTGAAATATCTCTTAGGCTTTAGATTGACTGAGGATCCCAAACATTTACTTGGTCTTCTGGATGGCAGAGGAGCTCCATCTATTAACAGCTAGAAATTGAGAGCATTAACTTGCTCCCATTATCTTTATAAATTTCCTTTTAGCTTTCCTGGTAAGTAAAATACCAACCAAGCAGAGAGAGGAATACACACAAGAAAATGCTCTTCCTTTACTTGAAACAGTTTAGGGAGTTCACATTGTATCTTAGGAACCAGTTGGAAAAGTCCTTTCAACTATTTTTCAGTTCACACTGAGGAGCAACATTGACATCAGCTACCTTTGGCAAAAGAGCAGAACTACATAACCATTAACTTTTGACATCAATGCCTTACAAACTCCAGCATCTTTAGATATGCTCTCACTCCCCTCCCTCTTCCTCTCATTTGATCCAGTCCTCTATTCCATGTCCTCCACACTTTTCTCCACGTTATCTATCCATTTGTCCTAACAGTGCCTACCATTGGACTCTTCAGAGCAACTAACCTTTTTCTGTTGATCTCTTCCCTTGTCCTTTCAAAACAACTTTCCCCAGCAAGCCTGCCACAGACAACCCTTCAGAAGCAGAGTATGGTGCAAGAGCCCACCCCACATTAATTAATTTCTAAACTTTCCAGGGCAAGAACTCTTCCTGGCCTGAGCAGTACTGAATACAACAATCATTCTTTAAATACTGTCTCTGTGGCCTTTTTGACAACGGATCTTAAAAAAAACTAAATGAAAAAAACCAATAGCTGTCCGTACTTCATGGAAAGCATAGGGTGTTTTGATTGAAGAACTGCACAAAGCCATTTACTGCAGCAGATCCTGTCTTGGCTAGCTGCCTCAGGGTCGCTAAGCAGAAAATTTTAGGGTTACAACTGTGCCTTGGGGCCTCGACAACACAGTATGAGGAAAATGTGCTCCCATTTACACAGCCAGGACAAGGTATTTACAGGGAAATTGCAGGAAAGAGATACTGGACACCAGGGAAAAACTGGCAAAGCATTGCTACAAAGTGACCAGGGAGGTGACTACCTCCGTCCAAGGGATTTTTAAGGCCCTGGAGACAGCAAAGTGTTTGGCTGTGACATATAAATGACCTTACCAGGGTAAAGGTCTAGACTATTAACCTCCTGACACTCCTTCTAACTCTGTCTACCGCTCCTACACATTATCTCCTTAGCTCCCCATATTTGTGACCAATTTACAGTGTCCACTTCTGGGCTCCCCAGTATAAGAGAGAGATGGACATACTGGAGACAGTGCAGCAAATGGCCACCAGGACAGTTAAGGGACTGCAGCATCCGTCCTAGGAGGAAAGGCTGAAAGAGCTGGGACTGTTCAGCCTGGAGAAGAGAAGGCTCGGGGGGATCTCATCGATATATGCAAGTATCTGAAGGGAGTGTGTAAAGCAGATGGAGCCAGCCTCTTTCTAGTGGTGCCCACTGCCAGGACAGGAGGCAATGGGCATAGACAGGAACACAGGAGGCTCTGCCTGAAGACCAGGAAACACTTTTTCACTGTGAGGGTGACTCAGCACTGGAACAGGTTGCTCTCTATACTTGGAGAAACGTAAAAGCCGCCTGGACATGGTCCTGGGCAACCTGCTCTAGGTGGCCCTGCTTGAGCAGGGGGGCTGGAGAAGATTGCCTCCAGAGGTCCCTTCCTACCTCAGCCATTCTGTGATTTCAGGTAATACCTGCTAAGCCCCAAGTCCTAACCCAAGAGTACTCACTGCCAACCACCACCTCCTCTGAAACAGAAAGCTGTTCCATTGGGTTACTCCGCGGGGAATGATCTTGCTTATCTTCTTGCTGGTTTGCAGGTGTTTTTGGAGATACATGAGTCATTCCGTCAACATGCTCATGATCAAGGATTAAGTCCGCAGAGTATCTTCGGGTTCCTCCCTCATTTGTGCCCACACTGGATACCAGGCCCACCAGCCTTGCTTCCTCTTGAGCTGCATCAGAAATCTTGCTTGTCTGTGCTGAAGTTTTTGAATCTGATAGCTGTGGTTCAAGAGCAGAAAGCTTATTGTGGCTCTGTTCATCAAACTGAGGCTGAACAAAGAGCTCTGTGTTACTCAGCATGATTTCCGCATCGCTTGCCAGCATGGCTGTTGGAATCCCAGATGCTGTTTCTGAGTCCACAAGATAGTTCTGTGCTGTTTAGAAAGTTTTAGAACAAGTTTTATGTAAAAAACTGTTCAAGATCATAGGGACACCCATTTATTACCAGGACTTGCATAATTCAAAATTTAAGTCATTCAACGAAATTTTATTTATCCTCCACAGATCAAACACTGAAACTGCATCACCACGCTTCAGTGTCCCTAACTTTCTCTACCAAACCATCTCCAGTACCCACAGTTATGAACACGATCCCAAACGATTCCTGTGGTATAAACCACCAAACTGGGTGGAGCACATATTTAAGTGCATAGAATCAAAGCAACTACAGATGCAGAGTCTCATTCTAATCTTGCCTCCCAAATTACACTGGATTTCTGTGCACGTGCTGGTAGCCTTTAAATCGTAAAATACAGACCACACTTCAGTAACTGCTTCTAAAAGCCACCTTATATGAGGCCCTCCCTCCCAAAACAGAAGTAACAACACAGAAGAAACCTTTTCTTTTCAGCATGTTCTGTTCCACTCCGCCTTCAAAAGCTTCTATGTCAATAGCTTTGCGATTTTTTGGCCTCCGGAGCAAGCCTCTCTTTTCAACAGTGTCTGGTGGGATCAAGGAACCAAGAGACAGGCGAAGAGATCTGTAAAAAGAGAAGGGAAGAAACAATTTTCCAAAGTTACACACTCCCCTTTTACCCTCAGATTACCGACATGGTGCCACTAGCCGTGAGACATTTCACAAATCCGTTAGCTAGGAGGAATTTCCCCCCAAAACCTTGAAGGTTACATGCCAGTCTACTTTAAACAAATAGTTTAATTTTATGGTATCACCTAACATCGGGATATGTATCAGAGAGATCAGGAAACAGACTGTTTTACAGCCTCCTACCTCACAAGGGCTGCAACAATGTATCTGACAGAAGGTCCTGGCATTTTAAAAATTTTAAATTAAAAAAAAAAAAGGGAAAACAAATGTTTGAGAGTAAAGATGTCCTCTAGATGACAGCAGGATGGTAGGAGGACTTCAAGTCTAAGAAGCTGCTCAGTATCAGTATTCACAGCAAAGTACAGCTACCAACACACTGTAACTTTTTTGAGATGGGAACTAAGATAGTAACATGCAAAGCATGGGAAAAGATGTATCTCACTGCACATATTTTGCATCCTAAAGAGACTGGCCATGCTCAGCTACCTCCTGTCCCTCTCTCTAGGCAGCACAATCAAAAAGATTCAGAGGATTCAAAGATAGGAAGTACAGAATGCAGCCCTATGAATCACCTTGCATGGGACCACAGGCAAGGGCTGCAGCGAGAAGGGTGAAATAAATTGCTAACCATGGCTAGGATCATTAGCAACGTACAGAGGCAACACAGGAAAATGAGTTCTTTGACTTGCTAAAAAGCTTTTAAAGTCCAGGAGAGCTGGACTATAGACTGCATAGATGCAACAGGCTGTCATAATATTCTAAGGTATATTGTGTACTGATTTATTGTTGGAAACATGAGAATGAAAGGAAAAAAGCAATGATCCTAATAAGTAAAAAGAGGAACAATAGTAACAATACAAGCTAGACCAACCTGGGCATACAGTGCAGAGCCACAATTTCTGAAAATCACAACATATGTACTAGAACACCTTCAAATTCTGTCACCAGAGCGGGGAGATGATTGTGTTAGTACTAACATAGGTCTTTATCATGAACTCAGGTATCTATAATGTTCATCACAACTACAGAGGTGATGAATCAAGGCAGCTATAGTTAGGAGAGCCAGAAGTTAAGACATTTTAATTTAAACTCACCGAGCCAAAGCAGTGCTGTCCAACGTTGACTGAGCTAGAAAAAGTTGGTGATACATTAGTTAAGAAATTGTGCTAGCTGAGAAATTACCGCCTACACTACAGGCTACAGGAACACCCCAATGGATCTTCCTCTTTCTAGAGCCAGTTATGCTACAATCCTCAGAAGTTACATTTTGGTGAGAACAGAATTAGATGACAGGTTCATTTTACAATTTCTTGTCTGCATTTCAGAACTGCATATTAGAATTCTAGTAAGCAATTTCTGAAAGTGTAATAAAACAATTATTTCAAAGAAAATTTAACATGGCACACGCCCTCATACTCAATATTAATCTTACCACATTAATAGCAAGATACTAGGCTAGTGCGTCAGTCACAACCCTTCAGCAACCTAAACTAAACATTAAAGCATCTGGAAGCTTTAGAAGTACAGATAACTACTCCACAGATTGTTGGTGAAAGCATAACTCAAACCTGTTCTACTCTCAAAGCCCCCAAAATCCAAAAGCAGATCTGGAGAGCACTGACATAATCATGCTTATACTAGAAAATACTAGAGCATGCCCCCTCTGCTTTTACAGAGCTGCCCACATCTTATCAGAACATGTTCAGACCAGGTATCAGGCTAAAGAAAGACAAGTCGATTTTTTTGACCACAGGGTGGTCAAAACAGGTTTTGAGTCAGGGTGGGATTCAGCTCCAGATTAAAATATCCAAACACAGGTGTCTGATCCTATTATAGTCAAGGACAATTAATCAAATGCAGGTGTCTACTTTAGGGTAAGCTCAATACCCTCCATACTCCACTGACTAGATCTCCCCTAAACTTTAGGAGGATTTCAGTTACCTAGTGTGCATGCAGACAGAGCTGTAATTCAGAGCTGAGGTACTGTTGTCTGTAATTCAGAGCTGAATCTCACCCTTGAATTCTACTCCAGTTGCTACTGCCAATAGGATATGTAAACCAAGGTGAGGTGTTTTATCTGCCTCTGTTAAACTGCAAATAAAATGGAAGTTATATTTACCAAATTTGCAAATTTATGTTTAAAGGGAAGACTTACTCCAATATAAAACATTATTTCTTTTATAAAACTATAAGACCCTTTTTTCTCAAACAAGAACTTTATAACCTACGATATGTAATTGCAACGAAAAGCATGCAGCTTGTTGCATTTTCAAGTTTCTGGAATTGAGGGGAAGACAGGGCTTGCTTCCTTCAGAGGCACTTCAAAACTCAAAGAGCACCAAGTTGGAAAATAGTCAAGTTATATACAGTCAGGGCAGAGCCCATAACTTGGCTCAAAAAGGCTTATTGTAAATTTGATAGGAGGGGCTTTTACCTTCTCCCCTATCCCCTTTGTGCAAGATACTGCAATCTTGCTTCCAAGCGTACAACTGCCCAGCTGAGAAGTCACTAAGAACAAAACTGCAGCAGATGATGATCAGCTAACAGCAAACACAGTGCTGAACAACGTAATTTTCAACTGCGGCCTTACCTTGGTTCTGGGGAAGTCTTTTGTCTGCTGCTCTCTCAAATTCAGAAATGCTGAGTTTCTTTCTCTTCTTAGTCATACGGAACGTGGCGATAGATGTCTCCTCAGGAACAAGGTCTGGCAGTTGCATTTCCACCCTACCAATACAAACCAAGCCTTTAACAAAGGATAACATTATCACTTGGCTACCCTAGAAAGGTCCCTGTAATGTCACTGAAAAGCAAATTAAAATTATTTGTCCTTGCTGCAGCAGAAGTAAGGAACTAATGGGCGATTAGCTCAGCAAATGAGGGAACATGTCATTCCCTCCTACTAAATCGAAGTAAGCTTCACAAAGAGAATCAAAACTTGAGTATATATATGCAAAACAACAGCGCTGAGAAAGGTCAGACTAGAGTAAAAGCTTGGACTTCCAACAAGCTCCATAGCTCTCTCCTCCTAACAGCACACAAGAGCAATTAGGTTTGTCAACCATTACAGCATAAATGAAAAAGCCATCATCATGAAACAACATTAGGTATCACAAAGCTCACTGGTGCTTGGAATTGACACGTAACGTCCCAGTCAAGCACTGGATCAGGATCAGAAAGTATGTTTCTGAGTTGTTTTCCCCCTGTACTGGGAAGTTCCAAGAATCCCCTCTCAGGAAGGTCACATTCAGGCAGCGAGTTGCTGCCAGCACTCCACACCATGTCCTGCAGTACTAGAGCAGAGCATCCCTCCAGCAGCCAAGGGCCCACATTCAGCAGATGTATCCTTCTGTATCCTTTGCTGCAACAAACGTGGCTTCAATATAGCAAGAAAGGTAAGGTGATCATGTTTACAGGTCTTTTCCCCCTACAAAATACATTCTCTACCACCCAGAAATGTGGCTAAGTTTCATTTCTTATTATGAGCCTAGTGTAAGCCTAAGCATTAGAATTAATTGGCTTGTAACAGGGAAGAAATGTAAAGCAGTAGGGAAAAAAAGATTTCTCATTTTTTTGCATCTATCCTGGAATGTGCTATTACAACTAGGGAAAGCAGTGCCTTCCCAAATTCAGGAAAGTTCACGTCCATCAACTAAAGGAAGGTTGTGAGGAAGGATTTAAAACAAAAAGTCTGTACCTGTTTCTGTTCAAGAACTAACATGGAACATAAAACCCTGCAAATGTCCGACCAGCTTGTCTTTTTGCTTAAGAAAGGCTGATGAGAAGCACATTCAAAGACGTTCAAGAGCTACAACAAGCAAAATCAAGAAGGAACTAAAATAATATTGCTCATCTTTCTTGATTTAAAAAAAACCAAGTGGTTACACTTACAGAAAACTCAGATGTTTCCTCTATTAAAAAATCAGAAAGATAGAAGCTTGCTTAATATTTTACATGACCTGTTTAAGGTTGCTTATGGTCAATGCAAAAAAATTAGCTATAAAGACAAAAGTAATCACATTATTTAGAACAGTCTATTTTGCAGTAAGCAAAAACACGCACAAGTGTTGTGACAAAACTGGCTAAAGCAAATTAAGACCTACCACCACTACTGGCTTTCTTCTATTTCATAACAAAGTGGAAGTAAATGAACCACACTTCAGCCTCTCCAATTCAGTCAGGCCTATTAACTTAAAATATTAACGGAAGCTAAACAGGAATAAGTGGCTGAGCCTAAGGCAAACCTCACCTCCAAACCACTCTACAGGAAGGAAGTTACCCATAGCAGCCCAAAACGAGGGCAACCAAGGAGCAGTAACACTGTAAAAAGCTACAGCAGCCTGCATTCTGAATACAAGACACAGCAGTAACTCATTATGCCCCAGCATCATCAGCACACGGCCTGTAGCCTTGGGGAGATCCAAGAACTTCTATTTTAGTGTCTCTCAGACAACTACGAAAAGTAGGCTTCCATCATGAGCCTTATTGTAACCAGCACTTCCACTGCAAAAAGATACTAAAAATCTGCATTTAAGAAGCAGGACTAAGCACAAACATGCAGCATTTACTATTCAGTCCTTCAGTCCCAGTGACTCCTATGTGACTTTTGAAGCTGGAGAGCTATTTCTGAAAATCCAACCTGACAGAATGCAATTCTGATCACTGAAACAGAAGTAAGAGAAATCCTACTCTCCAATGCCATCATAGGAACTGCAGCTATAACTGGTTGTGTAAAAAATAAAAATAAAAATTAAAATATCACTTACATGCTGGACACCCTCTTAGATGGGAGTTCTGGTGGAGCTTCTGTTTCTTCATGTTTAGATATCTGAGGTGCTAGAGGTGAAACTTGTGGTTCTGCCAAAAAACCCAAAACATTTCCTTTCCAACATTCAATCCAGCAAGAATGCCAAAATGCAGCAGAGCATCAAATCCATACTACATTCTGTAAATGACATATATTAACAGTTTAAAATAAAGACCTGGTGAAAAATATTTGGGTTCTACTCCTGGGAAGGCTGCCACATACAGCAACAAAGCCAACAGTGACAAATGGCAGCATGGGGGTTCCATGTACTGCAGCAGAGCTGAGGTGAAGTCTGCAACAGCGCATGCCTCTACAATTAACACACGATGCTACAGCTAAAGGCAGCACAAAGATTACACGCTTGCTCACCAGCTTAAGAACACTGAGTGAAGAGAATATGATTCCATCAATCCAAGACCTGGTCTTTGAGACAGAGTTGTATCACATGACCTTTTTCAGCTGTCACAGCAGTGATTCCTCTTTTACATAAATCAGTCAATACAATGGTCTGGATTTCTGTTCCGCATAACAGGGTAAGAATAATAGACTACAAAAGAACACCTCCTGTTCTCAACTCCACCAAAGCACTGTCCTTCTATTCTCCGTTTTCCTGAAAAAAAGATACTTACGGGTCTGGATGATTCTCTTGAGCATAATCCGTGGTGTGTCATTGTCAAGATCAGGGAACCCAGTCGGTCTCTGCTTCACCGAGGTGCTTCTGCCAGAATTTGTCCCTGAATCGGACAGGGTCTAAAGAGAGAAATCAGAGACATGCAATTCAAAAATGGTATTTTCATCATTAAAGATGAATCTTAGCATCAAAAGCATTCATCATCTGTCTTCTAATGAAAAGCTAAGCTAGCCAACGTGAAACATTTTCCAAATTCCCAAAAAGAAACCGTGCGCATTTGCTTTTCAACAACGCTGGCGCTTCATTTTTGGGCGGAAGACAATTCGCAACGCCAGATCAAGGTGGGTTTCAATGTACAGCTCTCATTGTGGGCAACAGCCTGAGGGACTTGAAAGCACGGCCCGCGGCCCTTCGTCCCTCACAGCCCTCACCTAAAACAACCCAAAAAGGTGAAACAGAAGAAAAACATAGAGGTGGAAGGCTGTGCCAGCCCCGGCTATTCGGTGAGCACAAAATTCATGAGTTTCGGCCCCTTTTTCCCCGTTAAAGGCGAACAAGGGCAAGGGAGCGTGCTTTGCCCCCCGGTCCTCTGCTCCAAGGGCCTCGCTCCTCCCTCACACCGAGCAGGTACGGGCGGGCAGCGCCCGGCGACCCCCGCGGGACGGCTGGTGCCGACAGCGACCCGACCTTCCCCGTCCCCCGTCCCCCCCGCACACCCCGCGGCGGGGCCGGCCGGACCCCATTCCGCCACCTTCACAGCGGCCCGCGTTGGGTAGCGGCCGCTACGCCTGGCCCCGCGGCGGACCCGCGGCCAGCTGTCGGCCATGGCGGAGTAACGGCCCC